TGGAACTTTCAGCTTTGGATCTGGACCGAGCGGGACCACGGGCACCACCACCTCTTTTGGGGGAAGCCTGAGTCAGAACACCCTGGGCACACCCAGCCAGAGCTCACCCTTCGCCTTCAATGCGGGCAGCGCGTCTGAAAGCAAGCCTGTGTTTGGAGGTAAGACTGGGGGGGACCGTGGGAAGACTAGGTGCGGAACAGCCAGCAAGCGTGTTCCAGGCCCGCTGGCAGTCCGAGCTCATTAGGGCTGGAGGGCTGGAGTGGGAAGACCTGTTCCAAGGAGGACCCAAACTCAGTTCCAGCACCCACACCAGTGCCTGTCACCTACCTATAGATGCGGCTCCAAGGGATCTGACGCGGCTTTCTGGCCTCCACAGGCACTACACTTGTGCACATACCTACGTACACACACACATCTTTTTTAATCCTAAAAAGATACGTGTGTATGAGTGTTTTGATGCATGTATGCCTGTGCCCACAGCAGCCAAAAGAGGGTGTTGGATCCCCCGGGACTTGAGAGCTGCCATGTTCATGCTAGGAATTAAACCTAGGTTCTCTGGAACCATTGAGCGCTCTCTCCAGCCCCATAATTCCTTTGAGGAATTAATGAATGAGAGGGAAGAATGTTTGTGGTTTATGGGTTTGTATAAACGTGTGTACAGCCACATCCAGCTTTATTTTATATGGTTACTCAGCTTATACAGCAAGCTCGTTGAACTGCCCAGCTGTCTCCCCAGCCCATTCTAACTTACTATTGTGTGTCTATGTGAGAGACCATTTCCGAGTAACTGAGGCTGCCCTCAGACTCCAGCTCTTCATCCCCGAGCTTCCTGAACACTGTGGTAGTAGAGAGGCTGCCCTCAAACTCCAGCTCTTCATCCCTGAGCTTCCTGAACACTGGTAGTAGAGAGGCCGCCCTCAAACTCCAGCTCTTCATCCCCGAGCTTCCCGAACACTGTGGTAGTAGAGAGGCCGCCCTCAAACTCCAGCTCTTCATCCCTGAGCTTCCTGAACACTGGTAGTAGAGAGGCCGCCCTCAAACTCCAGCTCTTCATCCCCGAGCTTCCCGAACACTGTGGTAGTAGAGAGGCCGCCCTCAGACTCCAGCTCTTCATCCCCGAGCTTCCTGAACACTGTGGTAGTAGAGAGGCCGCCCTCAAACTCCAGCTCTTCATCCCCGAGCTTCCCGAACACTGTGGTAGTAGAGAGCCATGCAGGCAGCAGGGGAGGGTGTGGGCTCAGCACAGAGGCAGGAATGGTGGGTTCGGGAGCAGAGAACAGGCAAGAGTGGTGGAGTTTGTAAGGCTGGTAGAGTAGAAGACTGCTCCTAGCCAGGCTTCATTGTGTGCATTTTAAATATCCCGGGAAGTCACAATAGAATTTCAAACTGAAAGGTGAAGAGATCTTGATGCTGTGTGCAGGGTGAAGTTTGGCCCTAAGAGCTGCTGATTGCTTTGGTAAATACTGGAGAAGCTCTTGGGGAAGTGGGGAGGCGGGAGGCAGGTCTGTTGAGTGAGTCATCTAGAGCAGTGAGAAAAGGGATAGAACCAGAGAAGGTGGACCTTTTGCCAGGTGGTTGGTTCATAGGTGGAAACAGGGTGATGAGTTCACGCAGCCTCCGGAATAAGCAGGTGGATGGGGCTGGGGAGAGGGCTCAGCAGTCAGTGCTTGCCACTTGAGTGTGAGGATCTGAGTTCAATCCCAGTGCTCAGTAGCTAGGTGAGGCAGTGTGTGCCCGTAATCCAGTGCTGAGTGTGGAGGTAGGCAGATCCTATGGACTTGTTGGCCAGTCTAGCCAAAATAGCCAGCTCCAGGCCGGTGAGTAGAGACGCTGGAATGTGAGCGTCTGGCTTTTATTCCTTCCATGAATGAGTGGTCGGTACACCAGTGCAGATACACACCCGAGACGGATAACACATGGGGAGCCTTTCAAAGGATTATGAGTCTTTCTCACTTAAGAATGGCGATGGGCAGGCGATGGTTCAGGGTCCTTTGTGGGGGAAAAGGAAGGATTGACAGGTGACATTGCAAAGGACCAGGACTATTTATAAAAGCCTGGTGGTCCACACCAAATCAGTAGTTGGGCTGGGTGTGGTGTGCATGCCTGGTATCCCGGCACTTAGGCTTGGACAGGAGGTTGGAGAGTTCCAGGCCAACCTGGGCTACATAACACACTCAATCTCAAAAATAGCAAAATAGAAGAATTGGGTGTCTGAGGTAGGAGGGGTGAGAAGTGGTGTGGAAGCAGCATCAGAGCAAGGCAGCCCTGAGATAATTGCACAGGCAGAGCAGGAGCCATTCCCAGAGGGCATCCTGGAAGGGTTCGCATCTCTGCACGGTGAGTGTGAGGGAAGGCAGGGAACCAGGGAGGAGAGAGAGGCAGGGCAGGGTTAACCTGACCGCCCCACACCTCCGGCTGCGCTTGTACATGGAGGGTGGCAGAGGCGAGCTTCCTCGGCACTGCCGAGGACCGGTCTGACACCTGCCCAGTCTCTGCAGCTCTTCTGTCTCTCCCCTCTAGGCACAGCCACACCCACCTTTGGGCAGAGTGCCCCTGCCCCTGGAGTAGGCACCGCAGGCAGCAGCCTCTCATTTGGGGCCTCCTCAACACCTGCCCAAGGCTTTGTTGGAGTTGGAGCTTTTGGTAAGCAGCCAGTCTGTTGCCAGCATGACACCCTATCCCTTGGATCAGGAGTGATCATGGGGATAGCAGGTTGCTGGCCCTCGGGGTCTGGGGGAGTTGGACAGTAGAGTTGAGCCGTCTCAGGAAACTCGAGCATTTAGGAAGCCAGGTGCTGGTTTTTTGTTGTTTTGTTTTGCAAAGGTTTATTTTTATGCGCATTGGTGTTTTCCCTGCATGTTTATGATGGGTTCCCGCCAAGGACTATGAGAGTTCCCACCAGCTTCAGAAGCCCTGGTGGAACACCTATGCTTCTGCTGTTGACCTGACTTCCCAGAGCGAGGCACAGGTACAATGTCTGTGGCAGCAGCTGCCCTGATGAGCTCTTGTCAACTCTTTCCAGGAGCAGCGGCCCCTTCATTTTCCATTGGCGCGGGATCCAAGACCCCGGGGGCGCGACAGCGACTTCAGGCCCGAAGGCAGCATACCCGCAAGAAGTAGCCTGCCTCCTGTCTCCACTCCCCCATCCCTTCCCCAAATCTGGACCTCAGCACTGCTAGGAAGAGCCTCTGACCCTTCGAATTCCATAGCAAACCCAGCCCGTCACCAGGGCAGAAGCGGCAGCCTGGCCCTTTCTGTTCTAGAGAAAGTGGGTGCCCCACGGAGGGGCAGAAGCCCGATACTTGACTTGAACAGTCACTGGTGAGGCTGGAGAACTGGAGAAACATCTGTACATATTGTCCTTGCTGCCCCAGCGCTTGTTTAGTGTGTAGCCTAGGCGGCCTCCCCCTTTCCTTGAGCACCCTCTCTGCTAGAGGGTGCATGGGACCCACTGGGACCCCGGTACACATCAGGTGGATTGGGGGAACGGAATGTCCCCGAGCTTTGCCTGCTTGGCCTGGCCGTAAGAAGTGGTCTCTTCCTATGGTCCCTTCAGGGTCTCTCCTCCTTTCTTGCTGCTTTGCCCCTCCCCAGTCCTCTGAGATTCAGTCCTTTGAAATGGCAGTGAATCTTGCTTTGCCTTGGAGACCCCAGTGGGCACTGCTCGCCTCTTCTGCCAAGTCCGCTTCATCTCCAGCCCTCTGCCAGTCCAGCCTCCAAAAGGTTGGTGGCTCAAGACAGCCTGGCAGAGGCAGGGGAGAAGTCTGCTCCGGAAGTCCCGGGGCAGCAGACTGCCCACCACCGTTTCTAGCTGCCTCTCCACCTGCCCGCCACCCCACGGGCCTCTCTGCCTCTTCGGGATTGTATTTTCCAAGCCTTGTACTGTGTTGTCTGATGTTAATGTGGGTTGCTCCTTGAATCGAGTTTGGAGGAAGAATTGAATTGTATGTGTGGCGGCATGTTGGTAATGCCGGACTTAATGTCGCCTGGGCCCTCCTGGGCCTAGCTAATTGAATGCTGAAAGTGGCACCGCGTGACAGCCACAGCGCTGACTCCTGAGTTCTCCATAGTGTTTTGACTTAAGGGCTGGCAGCCCAGGGGATGGAGCCTGTGGGAGCAGACTTCCTTCCTTCTGTGTCCCCCCACAGCGCACACCCCAGGTGAGGGCGTCCTCTGCCTGTGTTTGGAGTTGTAGGTGAATGGACCACACCTTAGTTGTTCTCCCAAAAGGTCCTTCCAGCCTGTCTCTTTCCTTCCAGAAACCACACCCTCAGGCCCCAGAGCCTGGCTGCCATGCCCATCCTCTTTGGGAGAAGTATGAATGCGTGTGTCTAAATTAAAAGAAAAAAATATTTAAACGTTTTTTAACAAAATAAAAATTTATTTTTATATTTAAGCTAAATTGCCTTTTAAATTCCTTCAAGCTTGGTTCATTGAGGTGGTTAAGTATAAATGCTATTGAATAGTAGGAATTAGCTGTATAGTTCTGCCTGTGTGAAGGAGGGGCTCGTGGCTGTCCCCGGCAGCTCTCCTAAGGGGGCAGAGCTCCTCCTGGACATGTCGTATAAGTGTAATTCTTACTTTATAAACAATGTGATGTAGCTGTAACTGGTTCCTTCCCTTTGTGACTGGCAGGGGTTAGGCTGGGTTGTGTGGAGCTGGGGAAGAGCTGGACCTCAAGTCCCAAATGCCTGTGAGGATGGGTGGGGTCTGCACAGGAAGCCTCTACCTGTGCCTCAGGTAAGGAAGGGGCCTCCCTGCAATTCAGTCTGAGCTAATTACCTCAGCTCCACAGCAGGCCTGCATCCAGGGCCCCTGAAGAGGCGTCCTGGGACAGCCTCGGTGTGTGAGCACATTTGTCCGTGCTCATGCTGGACGGGGGGCAGGGAGGCTGGGGCTTCCCACCACAGACTGAGTTCCTGTGAGCGTAGCTGAGATTTTTAGTATGAATGTGAGATTGTTCTTGCTTATGTCATTAAAAATAAAACTGTGATCTGTCATTGACCTGTCTGCCCTTTATTTGTGAAGCAAAGAACTTAACTGGTAAACTGCCCAGGAAGGGACCCGCAGGGCCACATCTGCTCCTCCCGGGGGAGCGGATTCCCACCAGGACGGTGTGCTGTAAGGCTCAGTGACCACTATGTACTTGGCTGCATGCTGCCACCAGCTGCTGCTTTGCGTCTTCTCTTTCTCTTTGGAGCTTTGCTGAGAGGTTCTGGAGCCACTGCTTTGTCCTGTGGGGCTGGGCTGAAAGAACAGGCCAGAGGTTAGCAGATGTGATGGCCCACACCTTTTAACACTCAGAGAGTGAGTTGTAGGCCAACCAGGGCGCCACAGACCCTGCCTCCAACACAAACTCGGCTCCTCCTCCTCCTCCTCCTCCTCCTCCTCCTCCTCCTCCTCCTCCTCCTCCTCCTCCTCCTCCTCCTCCTCCTCACCTTGGTACCACTTCTGCCCGCTCAAACACAGCAATGAAGAAGCCACCCGTGAGTGTGGTCTCGGGAGAAGCCCGGAGGCAGTGCTCAGACTCCGGAAAGGTACTCAGACCTCGGTGAGGCCACGTGGGTAGGACAGGAGCTAATCTGTGGAGAAGGAGAGGACTCAGACCCTGATGAGAAGTAGCCTGTGACCTCAGACCCTGGAGACACCATTACCTGAAGACCCCCGAGTTCTGCCGTAGAGCCTCTTGAACCACATCTTCGTTCTCCTCTTGGCAAAGGGAACACGTGGAGTAGACTAGGCGTCGCAGGGAGGGGAAGGTGAGGGCGTGGCACAGAGCCCGCTGCTGGAACCCTGCCAAGGCCTGCAAACGCTCCTTGCTAGGTGTGCCTCCCCCATGCTCCTCCAGCCGCCGGCTCAGCATACCTATGGGAAGGCAATCAGGAAGCCATTGCCCACCCAAACCCCCATTTTACAGATGAGAGCATTTGCCTGTCGTCACAAGTCAGAAGGAATACCAAGATGAACTGGTAGCCTTTACTATCCAAGTGGCTGTGGGGCCAGGACCCCAGCCACACTGTCCCCATCTCACCAGAGCCACTACAAGAAGGGTCCAGCAAGATGTACTGGACCTGGCCGTAACGCTGGTCGGAGGGAGAAACTGTCAGGAAGTCCTTCTCTGCTAACTCGCAGCAAGAGACCCCAGCTCGAGCCAGCAATGTAGCCATGGCTGCCAGCCGCTTGGCATCCTGGTCGAAAGCAAAGATCTTCCTAGGGAAGAGAGCAGAGGCAGGGTGAACGGAGAATTTCTTCTAAATTACAACTCCTAGGGGGGCAGAGAGATGGCTCAGCGGTTAAGAGCATTGGCAGCTCTTCCAGTTCAATTCCCAGCAACCAAATGGGGGCTCACAGCCATCTATAATGGGATCTGATGCCCTCTTCTGGCCTGCAGGTGTACATGCAGATAGAGCACCATATACATAAAATAACTCTTAAAAAAAAAAAAAAAGACGTCTATGTGTATGACACATGTATGCAGGTGCCTGTGGAGGCCAGAAAGAGTGATGGAGTTTAAGAAGTTGTGAGCCGCCTGACGTGAGTGCTGTATACTGAACGGGTCCTCTGGAATAGCGGCAAGTACTCGCTGAGCCATTTGCCAGCCCCTGAACTGAGTTTTGGAGCATGGAGCCCCACAGTTACGTAAATCAAACCGTAACATATACTAATCCAGGACAAAGGTCTGGGGGTGTGGCTCAGCAATAGAGGGCTTACCTAGAATCCCCCAGTGAGGGGCTGGGGGTGTGGCTCAGTGGTAGAGCACCTGCCTAGAATCCCCCAGTGAGGGGCTGGGGTGTGGCTCAGTGGTAGAACACCTGCCTAGAATCCCCCAGTGAGGGGCTGGGGTGTGGCTCAGTGGTAGAGCACCTGCCTAGAATCCCTCGGTGAGGGGCTGGGAGTGTGGCTCAGTGGTAGAGTGCTTACCTGGCATGTAATAAGGCTTTGGGGATTCAATCCTCGATACACTACCACCCAAAACAAAACAAAAAGCTAGGACACAACATATTTAAATGGCTTATAGGGGTTCCTGCCATAGATAACCAGCCTGGGAAGATCCCAAGGGCTGAGGGAGTTTTGTCTCACACACCAGTAGCCTGGCTTGAGACTAGGCTATGAGCTTCCTAGGGCCATGCAGTCAATCTGTATCATTAGTGAGACTTTCCCCACAAAGCCCAAGATTTTTACCACATCCCTCCCTCTGCCTCAAAGCTCACTGCCAGCACTCACCCCTGGTTCTTCAGAAGGGCCGCAATGTAACTGGTCTTGTTGCCGGGGGCAGCACAGGCATCAATGACATGGGAGCCAGGCGGGGGGGCCAGCAGCATGGCTGGGAGGCAGCTGGCCTAGCAGGGCAGAAGATGCCGGGCGGGCAGCTCAGTAAACATAGAGCCCGAGTCACACATCCTCCCTTTCCCCGTCCGCACTCCCGACCTTATCCTGCAGGATGAGATGGCCAGCGCGGTAGAGCGGGTGCTCATGCAGATCTGTCTGTGCAGGAAACACAAGAAGCTCAGGCAACAGGGAGTCCAGAAGAAAATGTTGCCCCTTGAGAGTTCGCAAGTCCTCCAGGCTGGCAGGGAACAACACTGGTTAGGTTTTGGTTTTAACCTTTACGTTTATGATGTGTTCAGGTGTTTGGTCTGCATCGGCATGCATGTGGTCTCTATGGAGACCAACAGGGCATCAGGTTCCCTAGGACTGGAGCTACAGATGGTTGTGACCACCATGGGGGTTCTGGGAACCAAAGTCTGGTCCTCTGCAAAAGCAGTCATGCCCTTAACCACTGAGCCATCTCCCTGCTTTTCACTTTTAAAAAAGACTTCTTCTGGGTCTGGAGAGATGGCTCAGTGGTTAAGAGCACTGGCTGTTCTTCTAGAGGACCTGGATTCAATTCCCAGCACCCACATGGCAACTCACAACTGTCTGTAATTACAGTTCCAGGGGATCTGACACCTTCACACCAATGCACATAAAATAAAGTTAAATAAATCATTTTTTTAAAAAAAGACTTATTTTAAACTATGTAACTATGTTTAGGTAAGAGCTGATACCCTGAGAACCATCAGAGTTCCCTGGAACTGGAGCTAGAAGCCACCCAACATGGGTGCTAGGAGCTGAACTCGGGTCCTCTGCAAGAGCAGTTTACTGTTTAACTACTGAGCCTTGGCTCTAGCTCTAAGTCTGCTTTATTTTTGTTGAGATAGGATCTGGAACTCAATTCCATCTCAACCTCCCCGGTACTGGGATAACAAGTATATATCATCACGCCCTGCCTCTAAAAAAGGGGTTTTGGGGTTGCAAGGGCCGGTGAGGCACCAGGTAAAAGCATTTGCACAAACTTGATGACCTAATCTGATTATGAATTGATTTTGGTCATTGTGTCTTCAGAGACCTTTTACTGTTCCCAAATATTTCAAACTGTACATTGTTCAGCAGCCCATGGGTCCTGACCTCCAGCTGAAGAGAGACTATAATCTGGACAGGAAACTGAAAAGGTGAGAGGGAACAGCTGGGCTAGAGAACAAATGGAGGGGGTCGCCAGAACATAGAATAAGAATTGCAGGAATTAGGGGCTGGAGAGAAGGCTCAGAGGTTAAGAGCACTGGCTGCTCTTCCAGAGGTCCTGAGTTCAATTCCCAGCAACCACATGGTGGCTCACAACCATCTGTAATGAGATCTGGTGCCCTCTTCTGGCCTGCAGGCAAACATGGAGGCAGAATGTTGTATACATAAATAAATCTTAAAAAAAAAAAAAGAGAGAATTGCAGGAATACCCGTTTAGGGTAAAAAAAACAGGTCTCAGAAGATGACGAGGAATAAACTGTAGGAGGGGCTAGAGACATGGCTCAGCACTGAGGCACACTGCTCTTTCAGAGGACCTAAGTTTGGTGCCTAGCACCACGCCCAGCAGCTCCCCTGCCTATGGCTCCAGCTCCAGAGGGTCCAATGCCCTCTTTTGGTACATGCACACACGCACACATAGACATACATACTTATACGTCATTTAAAACAAACGTAACATCTTTTTTAAAAGGGAGAAAGTTTTGTTGGGAAAGTAGGAAGAAACATCTAGAGAAAGCAGTCGCTACCCCTAGTCTCTCTTCCCATAGACTCCTGCTTCCCCAGGAATCTGGACATCCAGGAAAATGAAGGCACCCAGGCAGATGCCAAGTTCTCACCTGGAAGCCCGACCCTGGTAGGAGAAACCTTGTCTCTTGAAATAATCGATCGCGTCCTCAGGGCAGGTCTTGAGCGTGTTCACACGCACGAACCGAGGCACCTGGTAGGCTAGAAGCCACAGCAGTGAGTGGGTAGGAAGACAAGCCCCTCCTGAGGGCCATCACCCTCCCCCTCAGCCTCCAGTTCACCTTGGCCAGGCCTGGAACTTTCTTGCAACAGGTCCTCATTTCGGCTCACACCCCGATGAACCTTGAGCCGGGCCAACTCAGCCTTGAGCCTCGCCTGGTGCCGGCCCAGAAGAGCCTTCCATCGGCCTCCACCCCCTCGGAAACCCTTCCCTAGCAATAATTCATACACTAGCACCTGGATAGAGAAAAATAGAAACACTATTAGCAACATAAAACCCTTTGGTGGGAGGACTAAGTACCTGTCCAGATGGTCATCTCAAGGGGGTTTTCTTGCAAAAAGATCACCCACAAAATTAATGGCCCAGTATGGGGGCAAACGCCTATAATCCCAGATGCTTACACAAGAATACAAGCTGAAGATCAACCTGAGTTACCAATTTAAGACCTACCTAAGCAACTTAGCAAGAACCTGTCTCAAAAATCTTAGAAGGGCTGGGGACATAGCTCAGTTGAACCTGCCTAGAATCTCCCAGAGAAGGGTTGAGGGTGTGACCCAAAGAGAACTGTCTAGCATCCACCACTTAAGGGACTGGGAGCAAAGCTCAGCAGTAGGGTAGAGAGCTTGCCTCATATCCGCCAGAGAAGGAATGGGGTTACAGCTCAGCAGTAAGTACCTGCCTAGACTGCTGTAGTGAGGGGCGGGAGGTGTGGCTCAGCAGTAGAGCACCTGCCTAGAATCCCCCAGTGAGGGGCTGGGGTGTGGCTCAGTGGTAGAACACCTGCCTAGAATCCCCCAGGGAGGGGCTGGGGTGTGGCTCAGTGGTAGAGCCCCTGCCTAGAATCCCCCAGTGAGGGGCTGGGGTGTGGCTCAATGGTAGAGCCCCTGCCTAGAATCCCCCATTAAGGGTTGGGGGCGTGGCTGGGGATAGAACACTAGTCTAGACTCCTCCACTGCAGGGTTTGGGGGCGTGGCTCAGTGGTAGAACTCTTCCCTGGCATGCTGGAGACTCTGGGTTCAATCTCCAGCGTCACAGTAAAAGCAGGCAGACCGACAGAAAGCAGATTCGGTATTGAAACCCGGTGTCCTGCCTCCCAGGCCTGTACCTTTCCCGCAGATAGCCACCTGTTGAGCAGAACTGTGGACCCCCAACCTTCCTTCCCATCATCCCCCTTCCCGGCAGGTAGCCTCTGCCACTGCTAGTTTGGGTCTCCGTCCTCGTTAACTATGCACTGCTCTCAGTGAAGTCAACATCCGTTCCAGCTCAACCGGGATCCCGGAAAGAGGGGCAGAACTGGGCACGGGTGACCGGCCCCGGCCACCGCCGCTCACCTTGGCCAGGTGCGGCCGCAGCTTCTTCTCGGCGCGGAGGAGCCCGGCGCTGGCGATCACGGCGTCCAGCACGGCCGAGTAGCGCTGCGTCTCGCACACCAGCGCGTACAGCTGCTTCACGTTCTGCGGGGCCGGGGGAGACACGCTGTGCACCCCACGCGGGCCTCGCCTCCCACGCCCGCCCGCCCGGCAGGCCCCGCTCCCCAACCCTTCCTCCCTGCACCCGGCCCCACTACCTGGAAGCTGCTGGAATACACCAGCCCCTTGAGGGAGCCCTGGCGGCTTTCCACGCCCGCCAGCACGGCCGCCGCCGCCGCGTACAGCCCCATGCTGCCGCTTCGGCTCCGTCTTTACGACACTGTCGCAAAGCTCGGTCTGGCTTGGCGGCCGCTGCAATGTCCTGCACAGCCGCGTTTCCGGCGTCAAAAGGCACAGGCCCTCGGTAGACTCCCAAGAAGGCAGCTGCTTTCTGTTCTCAGCATCTGAAAGTTAATTCTATAGCCGGGCGTGGTGGCTCACGACTTTAATCCCAGCGCGCGGGGGACAGAGTCAGTCGTGAGTTCGAGGCCAGCTGTGTCTGCATAGTGCCAGGACAGCCAGGACTACATAGTGAGACCCTGTCTCAAAAGATCAAAAAAGGGAAAAAAAGTAATTTTACCTAATTCCGTAGCTACTTGATAGTTTTTTGTTGTGGGTTTTTTTTTTTTTTTTCGAGACAGGGTTTCTCTGTGTCGTTTTGGTGCCTGTCCTGGATCTCGCTCTGTAGACCAAGCTGGCCTTGAACTCACAGAGATCTGCCTGGCTCTGCCTCCCGAGTGCTGGAATTAAAGGTGTGCGCCACCACCACCCGGCCTGCTTGATAGTTTTTTACTCTGGGACACAAAATGTACCCCAGACTCGCCGTCCTGCCTCAGCCTCCTCCAATGATAAGATGAAAGACTCAGTCATAAAGCACAGCCTAGATGCCTCTACTGAGAGGCTGGAAGTATTGCTCAGTGGTAAAGTATTTGCCTAGAATCCCCCAGTCAGGGGCTGAGGGCGTGGTTCGGTGGTACAACACCTGCCTAGAATACCCCAGTTGAGGGGTTGGGGGTGTGGCTCAGAAGTAGATTACCGGCCTCAATCCACTGATGTGGGGTTGGAGATGTGGTTCTGTGTGAGCGTCCACCTAGTAAATGTGGCGCTCTGGGATTCCATCCTCAGCACTGCAAAAAATAGACTAGACTATTAAACAGTGTGTTTGTTTGTTTGTTTTTCGAGACAGGGTTTCTCTGTGTAGCTTTGCGCCTTTCCTGGAAACAGTATGTTTTTAATAGGGCAAAGATTACTGCTGGAAGTAGAGCCTAGCATGTGCAGATCTCTGGGATCAATCCTCAACATTGGTGATGAGGAGGAGGAGGGATGCTGACGTAACTCAGAAGAGTGCTTGCCAAGAGGCTGAAAGCCCTTAGTTCCAGTCCCTCCACTGAATTAAGCCAGGCATAATGGCACACTTCCGTACCCCAGCACTCAGGCAGGAGGATCAAGAGTTCAAGGTAATCTAGCCGGGCGGTGATGGCACACGCCTTTAATCCCAGCACTCGGGAGGCAGAGGCAGGTGGATCTTTGTGAGTTCAAGGCCCACCTGGACTACAGAGTGAGTTCCAGGAAAGGCGCAAAGCTACACAGAGAAACCCTGTCTCAAAGCTACACAGAAAAACAAACAAACAAAAAAAGTTCAAGGTAATCTTTGGCTAGCCAGTTCAGGCCAGCCTGGGCTACATGAGACTCTGTCTCAAGATAATAGTCTTAGCTGGGGCTAAGAGAGATGGTACAGCCGTTAAGAGCACATACTGTTCCCAGAACCCGTTAGGCAGCTCACAACCCTTTGTAACTCCAGCTCCAAGGGATCCTGTAACCTTTTCTGATCTCTGTGGGCACAGCACCCCCAAACATACACCTAACTAAAACGAAAATATTAAAAACAGTAATTTTTTGGCTGGAATCTCCAGCTTGGCCCCATTCCAAACCCTGCCCTCTCAGAAAGATTGCCTGAAGTCCAGGCTCCTCCCCCAAAGCTGTAAGCTGCTCAAGACCATGCCTACAGGGTATTTAAGCCCCCTCCTCTAGCTCAGCCAAGTGATTTCACCTGCTCCCTTCCCCTGCCTCACCTATGGGGGCTAGAAAGGCCACCTGGGAGAGCTTTGCCTGGTCTTTTTAATTCAGTTTGATCTAGCTTACTGTGTTGGGGGAGAAACCTAATATTGAGGTCCAAATACCTTTCATCTTGGTGCCGAAGTAATAGTAATAATGAGAAAAATGTCAAATTTATTGTTTTTAATAGGTGTTTGAAGGGTCCAATGATAAGAATTCAGTATGTGTAGGACTGTTTCTGCTCTCTGCTGGAAGAGTTGGGAGGGACAGGGTTGCTCAGGTTGAGTAGATAAAGGACCTGGGAAGATAGAAGGTAATACACATACCCTAGGTGGTGGGGAGGGGCCTATATTCCCTGCTAGAAATGTTTCAGGGATGTGCAGGTGTGAAGAAACTTCTCAAGCAGTCCAAACTTTAAGACCAGCAGAACCCCTCAAATTCCTGTGTCTAGCAGGATGGGCCAACGGGCAGACCGCATCAGGGCAGCCTATAGCTGTACGGGTGTGAGGTGTCCAGACCCACTGGGTGCGGGCAGTACCATGGGCAGTGAGTTACTGCCCCTCTCATGCCAGCATGTGTCCAGGATGGGGTACAGCTTGCCCTGGAAGTCAGCCTGGAAGGTGTAGAGTATCCGCAGGTCATCGGGGCGGTCGGCGTCGAAGAAAGTGAGTTCACCCTGCTCATAGTGTAAGTAGACACCGATGCGATGGGGGTGGCCAGCCACAGGCAGCGGCAGCCGTGGGCAGCCAAAAGCCTCATACACGCGGCCCTCTTTCAGGCCTATCAGCCATACGCCGTGCTCTGGGGACTTGCTCAGCTTGCCCTTGCGGCTGGCTGTGCCCTTGATGACTCCCAGGCGCCAGTCACTCTTGCTACCCACCACCACCTCCCAGTAGTGGCGACCCCAAGAGAAGCCCTTGCTGGCCAGGACACAGGTGCTGTAGTCGAAGCGCTCAGGCTGGCTGGCCCGTCTCTGGGCGAGGAGGCCACACTGTACCACTGTGTTGCCTTTGGAGAGCTCCAGGAGAGGGTGGGCAGTAGCTGGATCCAGCTTGAGAGATTCTGGAGCTGGAAGAGAAAGAGACCCGGGGTTGGTTCACAGAGAAGCTGCAGACCCTGCCCAGGAGGGGATGGCCAGCCTGAGTCCTTGAGTAGGGGAACAGCTGTGCTGACTCTGTGTCCCCAGGACCTGGAAGGGGCGGGGCACAGGGCTGTGTGGATAGAGTGGATAGACGAAAGGATGAATGGGATAGGTTGGGGAACTGGGCGAGATGGGCGAGCGGATGGATGATGCCTAAAGCACATCAGACATGGCCAGCGTGGAAGAGTTCTGCTCAGGGAGAGGTGTGTGCGTCGGCCTGGCTTCTGCAAGTGCGTGTGCTTACACAACCGTTCCCACACTCTCCTTGCCACCCCAAGCAGGCGCCCTATAAGTTCTCTGTGTGCCTCTTGGTGCCATCAATGAATTGAAAGGGTGACAATTTGAAGCCTCACCTGGCAGAACTTTCCGGAAGAGTCTCTTCCACACAGTCAGTTTGATGTCGGCCTGGTGGAGACCTGGCTTGAAGGATATTGGGCTGAACGCTCCTTCCAAAGGCCGAGCCTGCTGGACCTCTGCCCTGTGTGCATGAGTTTCAATGGTGGGGAGCTCTACATTAAGGCTGTCTCCCACCCTCCTTTCCATGTGGGAGTCCACAGAGGCAAATTCACCACTTGGGCCTCACATTCATGGTACCATCATCCCTCTCCTCACACCTCCTTCCTAGGAACGCGCCTGCTGCCTAGGATTGGGATTGTGGGGAGCAGAGGAAGCCCTGAGTGAATGCGCAAAGTACAGATGAAGTCTTGAGTGACTATTATGGTTGACATGGGCATGGCCAGGTCAGGGACCTCGATGCCTCAGACCCGTAGGATGGCAAAGCCTTCCTCTTGTCCCAGTACAAATGTTGCCAGTGTGTAAAAGTCCAAGTGTTCACCAGAGATTGACCAGTGTGTACAAAACCTGCAGCTTCCTCCTAGATGTTAACAGTTTGAGACTGCTGACCTACAGACACTACCTACCAACAGTATGTAACCCCGACCACCACCCCCGTGCTGTGAATAATAAACATGCTGAGGTTCCAGGTTGCTTCGTAGTGGATGCCATCACCTCAGAGTGCTTGTCCCACCTGACACCAGCTTTCCTGTGTGTCTATGGACTTGCTCTTTCTGCATTCCCTCGATGCCCAGGCAGGTTTCCAGAACCAAGCCACTCTGGACACAGCGTGAGATGCTGCATGGCTGCTCTTACGGATGGTCTTAGAAGTGTCCTCCACAGGCTCATGCCGTGAAGCTGGTCCCCAGATGGTAGTACTATCAGAAAGAGGTGGGGCCTGGCTGGTGGAAACAGGTCACTGTAGCAGGTCTTTGAAGGTCATCCCCACCTCTGGCTCAGCCTTATCTCTCAGCTCCCTATCTGCCACCGTGTGAACAAGCCCACGCTCCCACTGCTGTGAAAACTGCCGTACCTTCCTGGCTGTGATGGACTGAAATAAACATTGCCTCCCTTACGTCATTTGGTCTCAGCGAGACAAGGCTACTAACACAACAGTTGTTGACAGAGCGCGGGTCTGGGGAACAGGAGTCTAACTTTCCTGGGAATTGTTAGAGATGCAGACCCTTGCTTATCAGAAACCAATCACCCTGGTTAGGTTGTATCACATGTTTTAGCCAGCCCTCCAGGCAGGCGTTGCTGACATGTGCTGTCACCAGAGACCCTCTACGTCAAGTGACTTGATTGCTCACTATAGCTAGGGTGGATTCTGTTTCCAGCTGAGATAGGCACATTGTCCATCTGTTCATTTCCATAAGTGCCTTCTAGACACATGGCCCCAAAGAATAAAGGAAACCACAAACAACAAGGAGGGCAGGCTGGGAGATAGCCCAACGGGTAGATTGCCGGCCTGGCAAGAATGAAGACCTGAGTTCAATCCCCAGAACCCACATGAAAGAGCCAGTCATGGTGGCTAGAGAGATGGCTCACTGGTTAAAAAACATTTGTCGCTCTTGCGAAAGACCTGGGTTCGGTCCCCAGCACCCACATGGCAGATGACAACTGTCTGCAACTCTAGTTCCAGGGGATCCAGCTCCCTCTTCTGACCTCTTCAGGCACCAAACACACAATGGGCGCACAGACATACATGCAGGCAAAACACTCATCACATAAAATAAAAGAATAAATCTGAAAAAGCCAAGCGTGGTGGTACAGTAAATGCTGGAAGGCGGAGACAGACAAATCCCTGAGGCTCTCGGGCTGGCCAGCCTGGCCTACTTGGTGAGCCCCAGGCCAGTGAGAGCCTTGTCTCAAAAAACAAAAACAAAATAAGGTAGATGGTATCTGAAAACAACAGCCAGGGCTGTCCTCTGGCCTCCACACCTATAAATGTGCATGAACAACACACACATAAAGAAAACTAGGAGAGGCTGGAGAGATGTCTCAGTTAAAAGCACTGGCTACTCTGAGAGGACCCAGGTTCGATTCCCAGCACCTACATGGCAGCTTACAACCGTGTAACTCCAGTTCTGGGGAAGCCAGTGCTCTCTTATGGCTTTTGTGGATACTTCACACAGACATACATACATGCAAAACACCCATACACTTAAAATAAGAATTTAAAAAGAGAGAAGACAAGGAGCTCTATGTCCGCAGGGTCTGAGGAAGGTTCAGAAACTTGAGTTTTCCAGCACTAACATGAACTCACTCCTTTCCCAAGGTCCAAAGAGCACACCTCAAGGGCACTCATTCCGGCTTTGCCTGCCTGGTACATCTCCCTCTCCTCTTCCTCACACAAAGCAGTTGACTCCACAGCAACACTGAACTTTACCACACTCTGCGGTCTGCACACCACCTTACCCCCCATTTCTCGAGATGGCTCCCACTCTGCCTGTCTGCACACCACAGCCTTCTCAGCTGTCACCCCTATATGCCTCTGCCAGTCCCTGGCCATCACCTCCTCCACCGTTTCTATAGCTTGAGGCAGTATCTGCTGCCATAGTTACCCCAGGGATGGGACCAGTTTTTCCTCTACATGACTAGTCTGTGAGAACCCTGATGGCAGGCACTTGACTTCCGTTCTTTTCCTTGGGCAGAGCCACACGTTGGGAGCAGCTTAAGGTTAGACCTCATGGAGGGGCCATGGGGATGAGACGCCTGTGCCAGCAGACACTGGCAGACCTCTCTCCCAGCAGCTTCAGTTGAGGTTGTTACCTGGAGGCCATGGCGTGGAACTTCTGGAAGAAAGAGGACAGGGGATTACTGCTGTGTATAAAACGGCATCGTTACAGAGAGGACTGGGGACCACACTCTTGGCCACTCACCCGGATGAACTCATGGTGACTCTCATTACTGAACTGCTCCAGCACCTGCTTGGCCTGGGTCAGTCGCTCCTGAGTACCCTGGGCCTGCTCCAGCTGCATGTCCAGGGAGGCCACCAGGCCACGTGTGTGACCTTCTACCCCCTCCAGGCAGCGGGCCTTCTCTTCATCCACCAGGTGATGCAGCTCCTGGAACTCTCTGCGGATCACCCAGCTGAAGACATCGGACTCATTCTAAGACAAGGAGGGCCGGTCACAGCGCAGTCACAGCTCACCTGCTGGGCTGGGGGTGGTCTCAGCATCCCCAGGACCTTGTTTTTCTGGCCCATCCTGAAGGGGGCTCAGCCTACATGCCCAGTGGGTTGATGATAGCTGTGAGTTCATGTCGCGACAGGGGAGCCCTAGAAATGACCCGCTCCTATTTTATGTATATATATATTTTACTTTCTGCAGTACTGGGGATTGAACCTAGGGCTTCATGCATGCTACAAAAACACCTTACCCTACTCCTAACCCTGACCCTGACCCTGATCCTCACCCCATAACCCTAAAATAGCCAGTGTGCAGCTGTGGTTGCCGATTCAACTGAGTCTTTGTGATTTTGCTGAGTCTCAGTTTGGAGCTTTACTGAATTATGTTTGGCTATTTTTACTGAGTCATTTGTTTGTTTGTTTTTTTTTTTTTTTTTTTTTTTTTTTTTTTGGTTTTTTGAGACAGGGTTTCTCTGTGTAGCTTTGTGCCTTTCCTGGAACTCACTTGGTAGTCCAGGCTGGCCTCGAACTCACAGAGATCCGCCTGCCTCTGCCTCCCGAGTGCTGGGATTAAAGGCGTGCGCCACCACCGCCCGGCTTTGTTTGTTTGGTTTTTTTTGTTTTTGTTTTTCGAGACAGGGTTTCTCTGTGTAGCTTTGTGCCTTTCCTGGGACTCACTTGGTAGCCCAGGCTGGCCTCGAACTCACAGAGATCTGCCTGGCTCTGCCTCCCGAGTGCTGGGATTAAAGGCGTGCGCTACCACCGCCCGGCCTGTTTTTTTAGCTGAGTTATGGCTTGATTTTTTTTTTTGTCAAGTCATGGTGTGCTTTTTGTTGAGTCATGGTTTGCCTTGGCTGGGATATGTTTGGCCTTATTTATTTATTTAGGTTTTTCAAGACAGGTTTTCCCCGTGTAGCCCTGGATGTCCTAGAACTCCCTCTGTAGACCAGGCTGGCCTCAACATTCAGAGTTCTGCCTGCCTCTGCCTCCCAAAGTGCTGGGATTAAAGGTGTGTGCCACTGTGCCTAGTTTATTATTATATTTTCTTTGTGCTTAGTCATGGTTTGCTGTTTTACTGAGTACCAGTTGGACTTTGCTGAGTCAACACTGGATCATCAGTGCACATTTTGCTGTGTCAGAAATAGGCACTGAGGGTGGGCGTGGTGGCGTGCACCTTTAATCCCAGCACTTGGGAGGCACCTGTTGCTCTTGCAGAGGACCTGGGTTCAATTCCTAGCACCTACAGGCAGCTCACAACTGTCTGCAATTCTAGTCCCGGGGGATTTGACGTCCTCTTCTGGCCTCCGTGGGCATGAGAAACACACATGGTGTACATACATGCATGCAGGCAAGACACTCATACATCTCAAAATAATCTATTTTTTAGACCTATTTTATTATTTTATGAGTGTTTTGCCTGTGTGCATGCATATATACCATGTGTGTTTCTACTAGTGCTCATACAGGCCAGAAAGAGGGTGTCAGATCCCCAAGGACTGGAGTTACTGGTGATTGCAAGGTGCTGTCTTGGTTATAGCAACTGAACTTGAGTCCTCTACAAGAGCAGGAGGCATTCTTTTTTTTTTTTTTAAGATTTATTTATTTATTATGTATACAGCATATATGACTGCAGGCCAGAAAAGGGCACCAGATCTCATTACAGATGGTTGTGAGCCACCATGTGGGCGCTGGGAATTGAACTCAGGACCTCTAGAAGAACAGTCAGTGCTCTTAACCTCTGAGCCATCCCTCCAGCCCAAGAGGCATTTTTAATAGTTAAGCCATTTCCCCAGCCTCTGTGGAACTGTTTGGGAAGGATTAGTAGGTCTGGCCTTGTTGGAGAGGTATCACTGAGAGCATGCATAGAGGCTTCAAAAGCCCAGGCCAGACCCAGTGCCTATCTCTCTGTCTGTCTGTTTCTGCTCTTCCACCCTCTCGGCCACCTGTGAATCAGGATGTAAAGCTCTCATCTACTGCTCCAGTGCCATGCCTGTCTACGTCCTGCCATGATGACCATGGACTAACCCTCTAAAACTGTAAGCAAGCCCCAATTAAATGCTTTCTTTTTGTAGGAGTTGCCTTGATTATGGTGTCTCTTCACAGCAATAGAACAGTAACTAGGACAAGGTCATATAAATTAAAACTGTCAAGTTAGGCCAAATTCATTTTAGTCCACAGTGTAACTAAAACTCTAAAACAGAAGATAAAATGTGTATGTGATTAAACATTCTTAGAATGTTGTTTGCTCGATCACTGTCTGGTTCCACAAAATGATCCAAGAAGTCCCTATTGCTTGGGGGAAATAAACTGCCCCTCAGGACATGGTGACTTCTACTCCAACCTGCAACCTCACCCGAATGGAGAAATAGCCTCACCCGGGGGCTGATCTTTCTAGACTCTACTGTTCCCGGAATTCAAGAATTAAGACAGTCACTTGTCTTCTGTGCTGTCAGATCAAGAGATTAATATCTTACCTACAGAAGTAAGCAAAGAAAAGTGAGACTAGCAAAAGCACAGACACAAAGTAACAGATGTTAAGACTTTACCTTGCGTTGGCCCCTTCGGAACTCAAAATCAACTGTAAACTTTTAAACAAAATTCGTTTCTAAATGCTTCTTATAATAAGATTCGTTTATTTATTATTTAACTAATATTTGACAAATTTGTTAATTTAGATGTCATTTTATTTAAAAAATTTTTTTTTAGTTTTATGTATTTATTATGTATACAGTATTCTGCCTGCATGTACACCTGCCGCCAGAAGAGGGCACCAGATGTCATTATAGATGATTGTGAGCCTTCATGTGATTGCTGGGAATTGAACTCGAGACCTCTGGAAGAACAGCTAATGCTCTTAATCTCTGAGCCATCTCTCCAGTCCTGTTATTTTATTTTTTAATTTTCTTTTTTTTTTTTTGAGACAGGATCTCTACATAGACCTGGCTGTTCTAGAACTCATATAGACCAGGCTGCCCTGGAACTTATAGAGCTCTGCCTGCCTCTTCCTCCTGAGTGCTGGGATTAAAGGCACTCATGACTAGATGTTTTTTTTTTTTTTTGGTTTTTCGAGACAGGGTTTCTCTGTGTAGCTTTGCGCCTTTTCCTGGAACTCACTTGGTAGCCCAGGCTGGACTCGAACTCACAGAGATCCGCCTGGCTCTGCCTCCCGAGTGCTGGGATTAAAGGCGTGCGCCACCACCGCCCGGCTTAGATGTTATTTTTTAAAACTATCTCCAGGATTGTTTTGTTTGCAGTTATAGATGTTACACATTTAAGACATAGTACACATGTTCTCTGTGTTTAAGCTACAGTTTCCTATGTTTCCATTGAAATGTAAAGTTGTTTTATTAGTAAAAATAGTATGGGTTTATAAAAATTGCTTAGAGAACAAAGGTTTAATGTTTATCAGATAATTGCTCATGGTTTCCACTGAGCTCATCAGACTTCTAGTTAGGAAACTGAGTCCTAACAGAGTTAAGGTTTATTTAGAAACATGTCTTTGGCCGGGCGGTGGTGGCGCACGCCTTTAATCCCAGCACTCGGGAGGCAGAGCCAGGCGGATCTCTGTGAGTTCGAGGCCAGCCTGGACTACCAAGTGAGTTCCAGGAAAGGCGCAAAGCTACACAGAGAAACCCTGTCTCGAAAAAACCAAAAAAAAAAAAAAAAAAAAAAAAAGAAACATGTCTTTGTTAAACTTTATCTAAGTGAATCAACAGCTAAGTTTGAAAGCACTGTTTGTTCTTAAATACTGGTGTAAGTGACCTTCTGAGTGTTCAGTAACCATACTGGACGGCCAAAGCCAATAATGCTACGGGGCTAAGACACCAGTCGATGCTTTGGCCCATGTCCCTGCGTCAGCTACATTCCAGGAAAGTACAGGCTGCTCCTCAAAGGGTCCTGAAGCTTGGGCAAGTCACACATCCTCATTCTCTTGACCAGAGAGAGCAGTGGAGATCCAGGGTTTGCACTCTCAAGAACGTACATTCTGAAAGTAAGGGGTAGCCCCAGAGTGAACTGTCCTCAACACTTCTGAGGGAGGCCACCTAGTCAGCAAGACCCTGAATCCATCCCACAGCATGACTGGTAGAGGACAGATTAAAGGAGCCAGAACTAGCCAAAGGCTCCTCCCCAGACGCTAAAAGTGAGCTTCAGTTGACTTTGAGATTAAAAATAAAGTTGGTAAATATTTGGCCATGTACATGGTCTTAAACACTTAATTTAAAAAAAAATAGGATAGCTAAAGAGTAAAATGATTTGTAATAACACAAAAGAGAAAGATCTAGGGTGAGGTGTGGTGGCGCATGCCTTTAGTCCCAGCGGTCTGATCTCTGTAAGTTCCAGGCCAGCCTGGGCTACACAGAGAACACAGTAAGACTCAGTATCAAAAACAAAACAAAAACTAAAAAGGAAAAAAAGAGGGGGGATTAGACTGTAGAAAGGGACAGGCATTACACACTTCCCCACCGACCCTGAGTGTGAGCTTCAAACATGACGGGTAGGACAATGACAGCCACTATCAGCCGGGTGGTGGTGGCACATGCCTTTAATTCCAGCATTTGGGAGGCAGAGGCCAAACTGGTCTACATAGATAGATCCAGGACAGCCAGGGCCGCACAGAGAAACCCGGTCTCCATCATCTTCCTCCTAAGGCTCAGAACTGAGTGAGAGCATGTGTGACATTCCTGTCCCTTCTCTGTCACTCCTAGCCCCCAATGCCGGTAGCTTCCTGTCCAGGCTTTCATTCCTCAGTATCCCATGATTGCTACCAACGGCAAGCAGACACAGGTGGCACCGAAGTATGGAGGAGAGTGGGCCCAAGCTTGGGGACTTTATCTCGGGGATTCCAGTCCTGCCTTATCACAGCCTCAAAGGACACTGAACAAAAGCCAACTTGGAACCAGTTCTGACAGCTGGGTCCAATTCCCTTATAAGGAATGGGGCCTTTCCCAGCCACGAGGGTATTCTTTGAACTTGACTTTGTACAGAAGGCACCCTGTACAAAGGGCAAATTAGAAAAGGGTTTGTTGGGGGGTGGAGGGTAGGGGTGGGGCTGGTTCAGTGCTTAGAACCCTGTGCTCACCTCGATTGTACAGGGCTCTGGGTTGATTTGCAGCACAACAAAAATAAAATCAAAACTAAATGCTCAGAAAATTTAGGTCAGGGACAGAGCTTAGCAGTACTTAGAATCCCCCAGTGAGGGGCTGGGGGTGTGGCTCAGTGGTAGAACACCTGCCTAGAATCCCCCAGTGAGGGGTTAGGGGGTGACTCAGTGGTAGAACACCTGCCTAGGATCCCCCAGTGAGGGGCTGGGGGTATGGCTCAGTGGTAGAGCCCCTGCCTAGAATCTCCCAGTGAGGGGCTGGGGGTGTGGCTCAGTGGTAGAGCACCTGCCTAGAATCCCCCAGTGAGGGGCTGGAGTGTAACTCAGTGGTAGAACACCTGCCTAGAATCCCCCAGTGAGGGGCTGGGGTGTGGTTCAGTGGTAGAGCACCTGCCTAGAATCCCCCAGTGAGGGGCTGGGGTGTGGCTCAGTGGTAGAGCACCTGCCCAGAACTCCCCAGTGAGGGGCTGGGGGTGTAGCTTAGTGCTAGAGCTCTTACCTAGAATCCCCCAGGATGTGGTCCAGGTAGGGCACCTGCCTAGCACGCATGAAGCGCTGGGTCCCATCTCCATCACTGCATAAACCAGGCATGGCGGGACACACCTATGATCTCAGCACTCAAGAAGAGGAGGTAGAGGGATGAGAAGTTCAAGGTAATTCTCAGCTATGTCAAGAGTTCAAGATCATCCTGGCTACCTAAGACCCTGTCAGAAAGAGGGAATGGTGGTTGGGCGGGGAGAAGGGAGTGGGAAACTGAGTCCTGCAGGAAATGGGGTGGGCGGATCTAAGGCCCCAGGCGGAGGGAAGGCACTCACGATAATCCGGGTCCTGTTGTTCACCAGTTTGCCAATGTGTTCCTCCACTTTCCTCTGCTCCTCCTTCAGCTCGGATATGCGGCCTGCGAGTTCTTCCTGCAGGTGACATGCCAAGGTCCTGTGAGGAGCCGGCCAATCGCTCTTCCCTCTCCTCACAAAGCACAGGACCGTTCCCTTGGGAGTTTCCCAGTGACCCTGACGTGGAGCCAGGGTAGGAACCAGGGCTTCCCAGGTCCCCTCCACACACAGGTGAAGAGTGTTTAAGGAAGATGGATGTAATGGTGCACACCTGTCACCCCAGCCCTCGGGAGGCTGAGGCAGGAGTTCAAGGCCAGCCTACATTACATGGAACCAGACTATGTCAGGGAGGGGAAAAGAAAAGAAATGGGGGGGGGAGGAAGGGGGAGAAGAGGGAAGAAAGGAAAGGGGGAAAGCGAAAGGGCACAGAAGGAAGACAAGGAGAACAAGGGGCTGGTGAAACTGCTCAGGAGATTGACTCGCAGCACCCATGTGGCAGCTGACAACCATCTCTAACTCCAGCCCCAGGGGATCCGGCACCCTTTTCTGACCTCCTTGGGTACCAGGCATGCACATGACACACACACATCCATGCAGGCAAAATACTCCTGCACATGAAATAATAAAACAAATCTAAACATTATTTAAAAAAAGAAAGGAGCAAGCAAGCCCAGGTATCCAGGGGCAGCCGATGCCCTGTCCTTGTCCTAAAGGATCAGGCCTCGGAGCATCTCCAGCAGTCTCAGGAGGGAACACAACAGTCACCTCCTTAAGCAGAGAGGGCTGAGACAGGTCAGTGAACTGGGCTACAGAAAGAGGAAGACAAGACGTCAAGCCACACACTTGCATTCCCAGCTCTCAGGAGACTGAGGCAGGAAGATAGTTCCAGGCCAGCCTGTGCTCCATGGTGAGTTCCAGGCCAGTGGGATAATGTATTGAGAACTCAAAAAAAAAAAAATCAAACAAAATATCTTTTTTTTTTTTTAAAGTGTGGTCGGACGGTGGTGGTGCACACCTTTAATCCCAGCACTCGGGAGGCAGAGGCAGGCAGATCTCTGAGTTCAAGGCCAGCCAGGACAGGCACCAAAACTACATGGAGAAACCCTGTCTCGAAAACAAGCAAGCAAACAAAAAATTGAGTGTGTATGCATGCCAAGACACGTGTGTAAAGGTCAGAAGAAGACAGCTTTAAGGAGTCAGTTCTCTCCTTCTACCATATGCAGGGATTGAACTCAGCTCTTCAGGATTGCACAGCGGGTGCTTTTATGTGCTGAGCTGTCTCGCTGACCCAGCTGCCAACTCAGATCCACCTGCTCCCAAGTGCTGTTTGTTGTTGGCTTTCGTTGTTTGTTTCTGAGACAGGCTCCCCTTCATGTACTCCAGGCTAGCCTCTAATTCATGATCCTCAGAACTCCAGAGTGCTGGAATGGCAGGTATGGGCCGTCATACCTGGCTTCATCACCCCTACATTCCAGGCTCCATTCCAGGCCTCAGACACAGAGAGCGGATCTTAAGGTGCTGGGCTCTCTGATTCCCAGAATGCCATAGTCCCCTACTGTTCCCTCTGTCCCTCCTCATGGTGTCCTCTCTTTCTCTCTCCCCATATCCTGTGTGCTTATGTGTGTTTATGTATGTGCAGGTGCGCATGTGTGTGGAGGCCAAAGGTCAACCTCAGGTGTTATTCCTCACATACTCTCCAACTTGTATTTTGAGGCAGGGCCTGTCACTGTCCTGGGGCTCCCCTAATTTAGCTAAGCAGGATGGCTGGCCTGGAAGCCCCAAGAATCTGCCTGTCTCTGCCTCCTCAGTGCTGGGGTTGCCAGCACATACTACTATACCCTGACTTTTTATGTGGGCCTAGGGACTCTAACTCCATTCCTCACACTCGCACAGCGAGCACCGTACTGACTAAGTCGTCTCCGCAGCCCTCACACCACGCCTTTTTTTTAAAAAAAAGGATTTTTTTTTTTTTTTTGGTTTTTCGAGACAGGGTTTCTCTGTGTAGCTTTGCGCCTTTCCTGGAACTCACTTGGTAGTCCAGGCTGGCCTCGAACTCACAGAGATCCGCCTGGCTCTGCCTCCCGAGTGCTGGGATTAAAGGCGTGCGCCACCACCGCCCGGCAAAAAAAAAAAAAAAAAAAGGATTTTAAAACAGATTTATTTTATGTTTAAGTATGTGAGTATATGTGTGTGTAACTGGTTGGGGTATGTATGTACTAAGCGTTGGTGTCCAAGGAGGCCTGAGGCATGGGACTCCCCTGCAGCTGGAGTTACAGGTGGTTGTGAGCCCCCTGACATGGATGCTGGGAACAAAACATGGGTCCTCTGCAAAACCGGCATGTGCTCATAAAGCGGTGGAGCCAGCTCTCCAGCCCTCTCCCCATATCCTAAGCCCTGATGCTCCTGGGTTCCTCCATGTCTTCCTTCTCTCTCTGCCTGGTCCCTAGTGATAGTGTCACCCAGGTGTGGACTACTGCATATCTCTCATGGCAGCCCACCTGTCTGCGATGCTGGGTCCTCAAATGCTCCTTCCTTCCCACCTTCAGGCCTCAGGGGTCTTCCTCATCTTCCAAGCATCCCGGCACATCTAGACTTCCTTACCGGTTTCTACCTGTTAGTTCCTGGTCCCTGCAGACCCTGCTGCGGCCTTCAGCCTCACTCTGGTCCACTCTCTAGCCAGGGAGAACTGATCACATCACCACCAGGCTTCAAACCTCCAGAGGCCACCATCTGCCCACGGCTTCTAAATAAACTTTAGGTCCCTTCCTGGCTCATGCAGGCTTCCGCAGTTTGAGTCCTGCTTACTTGACTGCCCCATCTGGCTCCAACCTCTCCTTCCCTCCCTTCTTCCCTCCCTCTATTCTTTCATTTCTCTTTTATTTTGTGTTTGTTTGTTTGTTAGAGACAAGGTCTCACTATATAGCCCTGACTGGCCTGGAACTTAATATGTAGACCAGGCTGGCCCTGAACTCACTAAGATCTGCAGGCCTCTGCCTCCCATGTGCCACCATGCCTGACCCTTCTTTTCTCCATTCCTCCGTCCTTCCTTCCCCCTCCCCCTCTCTTTCTCTTTTAAAAGGGGGTTTCTTGTAACTCAAACTTGGCCTCAAACTTGACATATAACCAAGGCTGACTTTGAACTTCTGATCCTCCTGCCTCCACATTTCCAGTGCTGGAACTAGAGATATTTACCACCAAGCATGGCTCTTCAGCTCACTTACCCTCGTGAATCTTGGGATGGCGTGTGTGTGTGTGTGTGTGTGTGTGTGTGTGTGTGTGTGTGTGTACTATATGCACACACATATGTGGGTGTGCATGCCATTTGCACACCTGTGGAGCCCAGAGGAGGATGTCAGATGTCCTGCTCTCTCACTCCCTGCCTGTTCCCTGGAGACAGGGTCTCTCTGTGACGCTGAAGGTAGGCTGGCAGCCAGCAAGCCCAGCCACCCTCCTGTCTCTTTCTCCCCACACTTCTGGTGTCACAGGCAGACATGGCCATGCCTGGCTTTTCTCACAGGTGCTGGAGATTCCAATTCAGGCCCTCCTGCAGCAAGTGCCCTGGCCATCGGACTACCTGCACGTGCTAGGAGCACCTCCCACGTGCCTCCTGCTCTTCTGCGGGTGCTGCTTCCTCCTCTCCTCCTCTTCCTCCTCTCCCTCCTCTTCTTCCTCCTCCTCTTCCTCCTCTTCTTCCCCCTCCTCTTCCTTCTCCTCTTCCTCCTCTCCCTCCTCCCTTCCTCCTCTCCTCCTCTCCCTCCTCCTCTCTCCCTCTTCTCCTCCTCTCCCTCCTCCTCTCCTCCTCCTCTTCCTCCTCCTCTTCTTCTTCCCTTTATCTTCCTTAGGATCAGATCTCAGATTGGAAAGTCCACTTCCACCTAACACACAGAACTCCTCAGATCCTAAGTGATGCATCTTCACTTGGTGATGCAGCTGGTGAGGCTTTTGCCTACAGCAGTAGTCTAGCAGTACAGCACAGCAGCCACAGCACAGCACCTGCACATATTAGACACCCAGTGTGTACATGCAAGCCAAAGGCACAGGCACTGCCCAGCCCAGGTGTTATACTTGTCTTTCCAGGTTGAAGGAAGAAATAAAGGCACCAAAAAGGAACAAGAAAACTAACCTCTTTCAGTCCCACTTACAAACTTTTATGTATATTTTTTGTCTTTCTTTCTTGTGCTGGGGAAATCTAGGGCCTTGCACCTGCTAGGAAAGCTCTCTGATGCTAAGTCATGCCCCAGCCCCTCACTGGGAGATTCTAGGCAGGTGCTCTACCGCTGAGCCACACCCCAGCCCCTCACTGGGGGATTCTAGGCAGGTGCTCTACCGCTGAGCCACACCCCAGCCCCTCACTGGGGGATTCTAGGCAGGTTCTCACCACTGAGCCACACCCCAGCCCCTCACTGGGGGATTCTAGGCAAGCACTCTACCATTGAGTCACATCTCCAGCCTTATACATATAACTCTCTTTTTTTTCCCCCAAAGATTTATTTTATTATGTATACAGTGTTCTGCCTGCATGTCAGAAGAGGGCGCCAGATCTCATTACAGATGGCTGTGAGCTACCATGTGGTTGCTGGAAATTGAACTCAGGACCTCTGGAAGAACAACCAGTGTTCTTAACCTTTGAGCCATCTCTCCAGCCCACATATGACTCTTAAGCCTTATATATGTTACATTTGAAAAAATTTTAAAATGGTAAATGTTGATCTGTTCACCTGAGATCCATAGACTGATGAATACAATTTAACATATATATTTCAAACATTTACTACCTGCCAGCTATAGCTGTAGAGAGCGGTTCTAAACCTTCCTAATGCTGTGACCCTTTTTTTTTTTTTCCCGGAGACAGGGTTTCTCTGTGTAGCCCTGGCTGTCCTGGATCTCGCTGTATAGACCAGGCTGGCCATGAACTCACAAAGATCCGCCTGCCTCTGCCTCCCAAGTGCTGGGATTAAAGGCGTGCGCCACCACCGCCCAACTGCTGTGACCCTTTAATATAGTCCCTCATGTTGTGGCGAACCCCCCAACCATGAAATTATTTTTTTGCTAATTCATAACTCTAATTTTGCTGCTGTTAGGAACTGTAAAATAAATATATGATATGTAGGCCATCTGTGAAAGGGCTGGTTAACCCTAAGGGGTCACAACCTACAGGTTGAGAACCACAATTGTGGCCACTGACCCACAGCAGGGAACAAAGGTCCTGCCCCCCTGCTTGTGAACAGCTAGACTGAGGAGCTCTCAAGAAGCCAGGCCAACGTTATGGCTCAGCGGATGAAGCCTGATGACCTGAGTTTGATCCTGGGACCTACGTGGTGGAAGAAGAGAACTGATTCCTGGGAGTTGTCCTCTGACCTCCATACATATGTACACGTGTCCACTCAGAAATGAATAAAAACCGTAAAAAGAAAAAAAAAACCCATGGTGGTGCATGCCTATAATCTCAGCTCTGTGAAGAATGAGACAAGAAGATTTAGAGGTCAAGACCAATCTGGCCTGTATAGTGAGTTCAAGACCAGCCTGGGCTACCATAGTAAAACCTTGTCTCCGATAAACCACTAGAAAAAAACCATCTCGTCGAACTAAAGGAAACCTGGTGATGTGGCTCCGTGGTAGAGCGCTGCTTAAGCTCTAGACTAAGCCTTCTGTCTGCACAGCAAGCCAGAGATGCAAAGAAGAAGAGGAAGAAAAAGAAGGGGAAATGTCTGGCGAGAGGATCCCCGTCACTCCTGCAGCTGTGATTCCCCAGCACCTGGTATAAGCAACTGTTCAAAACCAATGAATGGGACCCCCACATGGAAGGAGAGAACTGACTTCCACAAGTTGCCCTCCGACTCTCACATGCATGCCGTGGTACACGAATGCACACAGTCAATAAACAAATAAACGTTAAAAACTAATGAATAATAATGCATGCTTGTATATGCATGGCGTATGCTCCCAAAATGGAGTTGGGGTGGGAAACGGAGCCCTGGTGCATTAGGCCGCTTCCACCGAGTGGAGGCGCAAGAGAGCTCAGGAAAGCTGCCCCTTGGCTCCGCTCCTCCCGCTAGAGGCCTGCCCGCCCCTCGCACCTTCATGCGGCTGTAGACGGTGGAGACTGGTGTGACTCGGTGGTGTTGGTGGGAGCCCAGCAGGCCGCAGAGACCGCAGATGAACTCCTGGTCTTTCTCGCAGAAGAGGCTGAGAGGGTTTCGGTGGTGCACGCAAATGGTGGGCTCTGTGTCCCCCGGGAGCCTCAGAGCATCGATCACCCGTGCCAAGGAGACATTAGGTGGGGAGTTGCTGTAGTCTACCCACTGACGACACACGGGACAGCGCAGCTCGGAGTCCAGGTGTTGGGACAAGGAGTCCAGGCAGTCTTTGCAGTAGGAGTGGCCGCACTGTAGCATCAGAGGCTCCTTGAAGACCTCCAGGCAAATGGGGCACTGTAGTTGGTCCTGTAGCTCCGGCACAGCCACGCGCCAAGCCATGCACGCAGGCTCAGCTGCAACACAGGTGACATCAGTCAGTCTTCTATCCTGCCACTTCCTCCCCTTGTCGTTTCTGCCCCCAACCCAAGGGATGCTGGAAACTTAGGGAGAAGGATGCCAGCCCTGGATTCTGATCTTAACCTACTATGACCCTGAACCTCAGTTTCCCCATCCAGAAAAAAAAAAGGACTTAAATGGAAAAAAAAAAAAGGTCACTATGGGTCTGGATATACAGGTCAACTGGGAGTGTAACTCAGAGAGGTACAGCCACTTTCCCAGCACCCATGAGGTCCTGGGTTCAGTCCCCAGCATCACAAATGTCAGGAGATATGACACCCCCAACACACACACACACACACACACTCCCCCAGCATTGGGGATTGAACCCAGGGCCCTACACACACTAGGCAAGCACTCTACTGATGAGGTAGCACCCTGCCCCCTTACTTTTTATTTTGAGTCCTAGAGGTTCCAGAGCCCCAGCTCTGGGGATTCTATTTCAAGGAGTTTCTCTCTCTCTGTCTCTCTCTGTCTCTGTCTCTGTCTCTCTCTCTCTCTATGTGTGTCTGTCTGTCTGGGATTCTATTTCAAGGAGTCTCTGTGTGTGTGTGTGTCTGTCTGTCTGTCTGTCTTTCTGGTTTTTCAAGACAGGGTTTCTCTGTGTAGACCTGGCTGTACTGGAACTCACTCTGTAGACCAGGCTGGCCTTGAACTCACAAAAATCCACCTGCCCCTGCCTCCAGAGTACAGGGACTAAAGGCGTGTGCCATCACTTCCTGGCCCACCTAGGTAATCTTAAAGCAAGATTGTTGGTTTTTGTTTGTTTGTTTTTTCCTTTAGGGACCAGACTCGTGTAAGCGGTGATGGCCTTGAACTCTGTATATAGCCATGGATGAGACTGAACTCCTGATCCTCCTCCTCCACCTGAGATTGGAGTACTAAGAGTGCTGGAATTACAGGTATGCCCCCATTATATCCAGTTTATACAGTGCTGGGTATAGAACCTGGGGGCCTCAGGCATGTTTGGTAAGTCAGTACCTATTCACTAGCTACATACTCAACACCAAGCGCCAAGTCCCTTGTCCCAGAACAACACTGTCCTCCGAGAGCCTGGGATGGGGAGGCTTTGGTGCTCATCTCCCACCTGCTCCCCTGTGGAAACAGAAATGAAGTCTCCACTAGACCATGATAGCAACCCCATCCCCACCCCCACTATTGCGTTACCTGGTCTCTTGTGGTCCACCAGGCCTCCCACTAGGATCTCAAACAAGCAGCTCTATCTGGTCACTCAAGCCTTTTCTTCCTTCCAGAATGGGACAGCTGACGCACAGACCTGGGGCACCCAGCTGGACACAGAGTCCCACTGCCTGGTGTCCGCCCCTTCTCTCCACTCCCTTTTTTCAACAACACCTGTGTCCCCAAGGTCATCCAGAATCAGGTGGAAAGTGGGTCATACCACGAGACTGAGGCGGCAGCCTCTGCTGGGTCCTTTATGATAACCTAGTGGGCAGATAGTGGCCTTGCCCGGGATGGGGGAGGGGCGAGACAAGCATGCCCTCCATACTTACAAACTCCAAACTAGAGCAGGTATGCGCTATGACAAGCAGCTTTCTGAATACCCCCAACTCAGAATTTTAAAGGTGTTTTATTTATTTATATTTTCTCTTGTTTTGTAGGTTTGGGTGAGATGTGTGTGTTTGTGTGTGTGTGTGTGTGTGTGTGTGTGTGTGTGTGTGTGTGCAAAACACTGATAAAACACATTGCTTATTCTGATTTTTTTCATTTGAGGTGTAACATGAACAGATCTTAACCACACAGTGTGATGTAGTGATGTATATCTTACTTGTGTATGTTCATTCTCAAGGTCAAGGTGTAAACTGGACAGGGTGGTGAACACCTGTAATGCCAGGACTTGGGAAGTGCTGACAGAAGGCCAGAAGTTCAGGTTCATTCTCAGCTACACAACAAGTTCAAAGTCATCCTCCTGAGACTATCTCAAAAGCAAAACAAAACAAAAGATCAAGTTGTAGAGCATTTCCAGTGTCAGTCCCTCTTGTTGAATATTATTTTAAGGTGTGTTGCATTTGTCTATGCTCTGGAACATTTGTTTAACAATGCAAAGCTGTGTTGCATTCTTTTATGTTAGATTTGTTTAACTCTGTGAAGCTGTGTTACTGTGCCTGTCTAAAACACCTGATGGTCTAACAAAGAGCTGAATGGCCAATAGCGAGGCAGGAGAAAGGTGAGGCAGGAGATAGGTTAGGCAGGGCTGGCAGGCAGAGAGAATAAATAGGAGAAATCTGGAAGGAGGAGGAGGAGGAGAAGGAGAAGAAAAAGAAAAGGAAAAGGAAAAGGCAAGAGAACAAGGAGAGGAGGACACTAGGGACCAGCCACTCAACCACACAGCCAGCCACGGAGAAAGAGTGAAAGTAAGATATATAGAAGTAAGAAAAGGAAAAAGTCCAGAGACAAAAGGTGGATGGGATAATTTAAGAAAAGGTGACTAGCAACAAGCCAAGCTAAAGGCCGGGCATTTATAATTAAGAATAAGCCTCCGTGTGTGATCTATTTGGGAGCTGGGTGGCAGGCCCCCAAAAGAGCAAAGAATAAAACATCAACAAGTCTCTTGTCTCCTGCTAGTCCAGGCTCCCAGTCAAGACAGTCACTGTTCTGGCTTGTATCCCCTGGAAGGGGACGAAGTCCTGGACCACGTGAGGGGGGCAATGGCATGCTAGCTGCCTTTGTTTATTTACTTATTTATTTTAACTTCTATTGTGTGTGCTTGCAGGCACGGGCCACCTTATGCATGGGGAGGGTGGAGAATAACTTGCAATAGTCGGTTCTCTCCTTCCGCCTGTGGGTCCTGGTTGGCAGGGTTGGTGGCAAGCACCTTGCCTGCTTGGCCATCTTGCCTGGCCTGGTTTGTTTCTTGCCTTGTTGGGAGATAGAACCAGGGTCTCGAGCATGCTACAAAAGCACTCGACCACTGAATTACATCCCTAGCACAGTCCATGGTGTCTGTTTGTGAATTTGATGTGAAAACAGTCACAAGCGTTGTACTCTGACATCAGACTCCTTTCCATCAATGCCACTAAATGACGAACTTTTAAAATCTGAAATCTTGGAGCCAGCTGTGGTGGCGCACACCTTGAATCCCAGCACTTGGGAGGAAGAGGCAGGCGGATCTCTGTGAGTTCGAGGCCAGCCTGGTCTACAGAGCGAATTCCAGAACAGCCAGAGCTACACAGAGAAACCCTGTCTCAGGGTAAAAAAAAAAAAAAAAGTGAAGTCTGGGGTTGAGAACATAGCTCAGCATTAGCGAGCCTGTCTAGACTCCTCAGTGAAGGGCTAGATGCCTTGTTCGGAGATGGGGACCTACTTAGAATCCCCTGAAGGGAGGCTGGGGATGCTGTTCAGCCTTAGATCACTTGTCTAATATTGACTACATCCGGTCCTCACAAAAATAAGTTATTGCACATCTAACTATTCAACCCTGAGGTTAAAAAGCGGGTGTCGGGTTAGGGATTTAGCTCAGTGGTAGAGCTCTTGCCTAGCAAGTGCAAGGCCCTGGGTTCGATCCTCAGCTCCAAAAAAAAAAAAAAAAAAAGCAGGTGTCGCTTTAAGTCACTAATTTTGTGGCGATGTTCTACCTGTGATAGAATGGCAAACAGCAACGCAGAGACCTAAAGAACGGCTCGAGGCCCAGCCTTTGTTTATGAAACATGAAAGGTTTCACCTGCAACCCCCCGGGTACCCACCCCATCATGCTTCGCGTCGGCTGCCACGTGTGAGGTGCATGCCGGGAGCCGCCTCCGCGCATGCGCACACTCGCGGCGGGGGGGCAGCGTCCATCACGTGTGTTTCTCGTGGGCAGCACGCGCCCGGCCCGGGGCCTCACTTCCGGGCGTTGCTTCCGGTGAGGCGTTTGGCGACCGTTGAGCGGCAAGATGAGCGTCTTCTCGCGCCTCAGGAATGGAATCCCGCCGTCGCGAGACAACTGCCAGGTACGGAGGTCGGGGAACCTCGGAAGCACGAGGTGGGGAGGTGGGGAGCCCCCGGAGCGCGGCCATGGGTGGCAGCACCCGCGGCCCCGGAGCCCTGGAAGGGGACGAAGTCCCGGGCCAGGTGAGGGCGGGAACGGGGACACGGGCCTGGGGAAGCGGCCGGGTGGCTCTCACCCCTGAGGCCTGTGGCTTTCTCTCTCTCTCGCTCTCTCTCTCTCAGTCTCCCTACGAGCGATTGAGTCAGCGGATGTTGGACATTTCTGGGGACCGAGGTGTGCTGAAAGATATCATCCGAGAGGGCGCTGGCGACCCCGTGACCCCTGATGCTTCCGTGCTGGGTAATGGAGGCCGCTAGGCTGCTTCGTCCTTGGGAAACTACGGTTTAAGTTTTGTTTTGTGTTTTGATTTTCGAGACAGGGTTTCTCTGTGTTGCTTTGCGCCTTTCCTGGAACTCACTCTGTAGCCCAGGCTGGCCTCGAACTCACAGAGATCCGCCTGCCTCTGCCTCCCGAGTGCTGGGATTGAAGGTGTGCGCCACCATCGCCCGGCTAAGTTTTGTTTTGTTTTTTGAAGCAGGGTCTCATGCAACCCAGACCGGCCTCTTAACTGCCTGTGTAGCTGAGGATGATGTTGGAACTCCTGACACTCTTTGTCTCCACCTTTTGAGTGCTGGGATTATGGGTGGGCAGGACTATATTTTATGTGGTGCTGGGGACAGAGCCCAAGGCATCGTGCATGCTAGGCAAAGCCTCTACCAACTGAGTTATATCCCCAGCCCTGTCGTTTGTCTGTGTTGTTTTGTTTTTGAAACAGCGTCATAAAAATAACCCAGACTGAACTCCAACCTCCTGTGTATTAGAGGATGACCTTGAAGGCCTGATCCTTCCTCTACTTCCCAAGTGTTGGCATCACAACCGTGTGCACCAATCTACCTGGTTGGTTAGGGTGGTTGTTTTTGGAAGAAGGAACCAAACTGAAGCCATTTTGGATAGAAATTCCCCTTTGAATTAAGGGTCAAATAAAGTTTAAGTTCCCAAGGCCTCCCCAGACCTCCCTGGGTAACTGGCATCCTGCTTGGCAAGGTGAGACAAGAACAGTCACCGCCCTTGAGTAAACCAACCAATGAGAATAACATAAGTGTACCACAGAACAGTAGTGCTAGGAAAGTCCCCTATTCCTGAATCCTGATTGGTGGAAAAATGCAACTCTAATTTGGCACAGACGTTTGTAGTTCTCAGGCATGAAGGCTCTGTAACTTTCTGGCTTGGGCAATTCAATTCCTGAGTCTGTTCTGCGGCCCTGATTGATTGGTAGTGGCTTAATTACAATACAGTTTTGTTTTCTGCATTGAGTTGTGAGTTGTGTTGGCTCAAGTGAACCCCATAAGACTTTGTTTCAAGGTGCTGGGATTGAACCCAGAATCTAGGTGTCTTCATGTATGTGATTTCATATTTCCAAAATACGGCATTTTATGGGACTGGATGTGCTTCTCCTAAATGGAGAAGGTTTGGTTTTTAAGAAGCAGTCTCATATATCCCAGGTCAGCCTCAAACCCTGTGTAGCCAAAGATGACCCAGAATTTCTGATCCTTCTGCCTCTACCTCCTAAATGCTGGGATTACTCATGTATGCCACTATGTCTGGTTTATACGGTGCTGGGGATGGAACTCTGGGCCTCATGAATGCTAGTCAAACATTCTACCAACTCAGCTACACCCCCAGCCTTTGTTTTATTTTTTGTTGGTTTGTTTGTTTTTGAGACAGGATCTCATTGTATAGCCCTGACTGGCCTGTAACTCCATATGTAGACCAGAATATATGTAGAGCAGGCTACCCTTAAACTCAGAGATCCACCTGTCTCTGCCTTCATAGCGCTGGGATTAAAGGTGTGCACCACCAAGCCCAGCCCCCCCCCCTTTTTTTTTTTAAATACAGGATCTCCCTGTATCCCAGACCAGCCTCAAACCGGCATTCTTCCTGCCTTAGCTCCTGCAGATCTGGGGTGACAGATGGCTGCCACTCTTGCCTGCCTAGGGGTTTTAAGAAGTAAAACAGGCTCCTGATCTCCTCTTTTCCTATACCATTGTGAGTAGTGAACAAAGGCCAATTAGGAGAGCCCTTGAACCTCAGTGCTGAAAGTCAGAACCCCACAAGAAGCTTTCCTGTGGGTCTTGGTGCCAGGCAGCTCTAACTCATTTAATTCTTTTCTTTCCCTAGACAGGGACTCTTGGGTCTGGTGCTAGTATAGAATTTGCTATATAGCTGAGGCCCCTCCTGTCTCCATTTCTCAAGTGCTGGGATTACAGACATGGACCACCATGCCCCAATAATTGTGGTGTTTCCCTGTGTTAGTGATAGGATGGCTCTGGGGGTGTCTTTGAAATGTTTTCCTCACACTCATGCTTTTTTTCTTTTCCCCTCTGCCCTAGTGAAATATTCTGGATACCTGGAGCACATGGACAGGCCTTTCGATTCTAATTGCTTTAGGAAAACACCTCGGCTGATGAAACTTGGAGAAGGTAAGGTCATCTGGGGTCATCTAGTCAAACGAAGGCATGACGTGTTTTAGGATTGTCACAGTGTCCAGAGAACAGATTCTTACAGTTGGTAGCTGAGCTTAGATTTCAGGGAAGCTCCCAGGTTATCTATCAACTTTTCTTCTTGGACTTTATTTTTGGGTGATAGCCTACCTGGCAAGGTTATCTTGGCATCTAAGTTACCTTTTGGGAATGTTTTTCTATTCTTGATTTTTTTTTAATTTTATGCATATGTTGCCCACATGTATGTATATGCCCAGTACTTGCAGAGGCCAGAAGAGGGTGCCAAGTCCCCTGGAACTGGAGTTAGACAGTTGTGAGCCACTATGTAGTTACTTGGAACTGCATCTCTCCAGCTACAGGGTATCTTTTAAGACAGAATCTGTGCAGCTCACACTGACCTTGAATTCAGAAGCCTCCCGCCCCAGCCGTGGAGTGATGAAATGATAAACATGAGCCCTCCACCTGGATCCTCTGAGCACTTTTCCTGTGTGTTTATGAAATGAATGCAGTGAATACTTAATCCCAGCATGTGTGGTGAAACAAGACCTCGTAGGACCTGGGAGAACCTAGGCTCAGTCAGTGAAGTGCTTGCTCTGCAAGCTTGAGGGCCTGCTCCCTGTCCCACAGAGTCCACCCTTAGAAACAAATGAAGCCGGGCGGCAGCGGCAGCGGTGGTGCACGCTTTTAATCCCAGCACTCAGGAGGCAGAGGCAGGCGGATCTCTGTGAGTTCGAGGCCAGCCTGGTCTACAGAGCGAGATCCAGGACAGGCACCAAAACTACACGGAGAAACCCTGTCTCCAAAAAAAAACCAACAAAAAAAAGCCAGATGTGATAGTGTGTACTTATAATCTCAGTGCAGGGAGGCAGAAACAGATGGATCCCTGGGGCTCTGACCAGCCAGCCTAGCCTACTTACCAGACTCCTCCAGGACAATGAGAGATCTTGGCCCAAAAGGCAAGGTGGATGCCACCTGAGGAATGACAGCTGAGATTGTCCTCTAGCGTCCACATGTACACACAGCAGCACATATCTCAAGAGACGATGCTCAGATGAATGATGAGAACCCCATCCTTGTGGACCTTACTAGGGTGGGGGAGGTTGGCCTCTAGTCCACAAACTAACGTCATAGAATTGAATGAGACATGGAGCTATGGGGTGTGTTCTGGCTTTGCTTAATGAAATTATAATTACCTTCCTTCTGGCAGGGCCCCAGGCACTACATGGAAAAGAAGGCTAGAGATGAGAGTCCTGAGGTTGGAATAAGATCTCAACTGGGGGAGTGGAGAGATGGCTCAGAGGTTAAGAGTACTGGCTGCTTTTCCAGTAGACTGGGTTCAATTTACAGCACCCACATGGTGGCTTACAACCATCTGTAACTCCAGTTTCTGCCCTCTTCTGGTGTCTGTGGGAATTGCATGAATGTGGTGCATATAGGCAAAACACATAAGGATAAAGGAAAAAAAAATGTTTAAAATTTCAGAGTAGACCACAGGCATTGAGGGCAGAGATCTTCAAAGAAAGAACGGACTGTGTGACAGAGATGGAGCCTGCAAAAGCTGGCATTTGGGGAAAGCAGGACAACAGAAACAACTGAGCATTGAGTTGGGGCACCCGGGCAAAAGACTTGGGTTGGCACATACACTTGGAGTAGGGAGAAACTGGTGGCTTTGAATGGGATGCTGGGTGAGCCTCAGTTGAGTTCACTGTCCTTTCTTCCAGATATTACACTCTGGGGCATGGAGCTGGGACTTCTAAGCATGCGCAGAGGAGAATTAGCCAGGTTCCTGTTCAAGCCAACCTATGCTTATGGCACCCTGGGGTGCCCACCCCTCATCCCTCCAAATGCTACTGTCCTGTTTGAGATCGAGCTGATTGACTTCCTTGATTCTGCTGAGTCAGACAAGTTTTGTGCACTTTCAGCTGTAAGTTCAAGACCTCAGATTTTCCGTTCCTTTCTAAAGGGAGAGGGATTGGATTGTGTTTGGGTAGTTCTGTTAGATCACCTACCCTGGGTTCCACCCAAGCCTCCTGCACAGTGGTGTCTGCTCTCCTCTAAGGTACAACATGCTAGGTAGTGTAAGGTATAGATTAGTTCTGTATTAGCTGTTTGCTGTTTAGTCGCCCTTTGCTTAGTTCTCACTACAAGGTGGTAACTGCTTTTCAGAAAGTTAGGCACTGGTGTGGGAGCCCGTTTTCAGGTTCCTCGTGGCTTTACCCAGCATGTCCACATAGAGGATGATTAGGACTGAGATGGTCTGCACTTGGCTGTACTAGGGGAGGAGGTCTTTTGCTCCACCCCTTGGTGTCTCTATAAATACCCTGGGGCAGAGACAGTCGGGGCCATTGGGAAAGGTTCCAGGCCCTCTCGAGGCTATCCTCTATTTTCTGTTTATCTCCGCAGTATAAATCTTTCTATCTCGTATTTCCTGCTGCTCACACTCAAGAAAACTCTGGGGAGCTGTGGGGTTGGTGGGTAAACGCCCCACACACTGGTAGCTTATAACAAAGGTGACTGAGGCTTGGAGATATAATTCAGTGATAGTTCTTGCCTAGAATCTGCCACTGATGGGTTGGGGCTATGTAGGTCAGTGGTAGAGTGATAACATTAACAAGCTCTAGGTTCTATCCCCAGGTCCATAAAAACAAGCTAGAGAATTGGTCCCTCCTTGAGAATGAGAGGCTTTTACTAACTTTACAGGATAACTGTGACATGAGGTATAAGCTGAGACAGTCTCAGGAAAACTGGGATAGAGAGCCACAGTCCTCATAACCCAAGCCTTGGTTTTCCTATGCAGCCTTTCACTCCCCCAGCCTGTAGAAGCAGAGCTTGTAATCCCATCAGCAGTCACATGATGCTGTCATCCACTGACTGCATATGTGGTGGTCACTGTGCATCCATTCCGGGCTTCGGTCCTCCATATGATTGGGTCTTCACACTAACTGTCAGTGCCTCAGTTGAGTGTCTCACCTTGTCCACATCTTTCCACAGACTAGATGATGCTGCACTCACCCAGGTTCAGATTTGGGGCTCTGGTAGGGTTCTCCGGGCAGTTCTGATATGAAGTCAGTTTAGCAACATGAACACATAGAACCCCCAGGGCCCTGAACCAACCAGGAACTGGAAAATTCTTGTTGAGTAATTGGTGTGAGCTTGGCAGGCGCTCTCAGCTTCTGTGGATGCTTCTGCTTCTGGAGGAATCTGAGGAGGATCACAGCAGCCATGACCCCCGAGCTACTCTGTAGATGGGCCTGTCACAGCACTCACCTGGGTGGTCTCTGCACACACAAGGTCCAAGAGGGAATGTTGATGAGTGGAACATGGCTGCCATTGTGCCACTGGGGCTTCTGGCTCCATGTCACTGCTCTTGGCTTTGCTCTTCAGGAACAGCAAGAACAGTTTCCACTTCAGAAGGTTCTCAAGGTAGCAGCAACTGAGAGGGAGTTTGGCAACTACCTATTCCGCCAAAATCGCTTCTGTGATGCCAAAGTGAGGTACAAGCGGGTAAGAATGCTCTGGAAGTATGTGATCCAGAAATCTTTTCATCTTTAAAAATGTTTATGGGGCCGGGCGGTGGTGGCGCACGCCTTTAATCCCAGCACTCGGGAGGCAGAGCCAGGCGGATCTCTGTGAGTTCGAGGCCAGCCTGGGCTACCAAGTGAGTTCCAGGAAAGGCACAAAGCTACACAGAGAAACCCTGTCTCGAAAAACCAAAAAAAAAAAAAAAATGTTTATGGGTATGGCTGTGCAATCTACATATATGTCTGTATACCATGTGCATGCTTAGGGACTGCAAGGCCAGATGAGGATATCTGATCCCTGAGAATTGATCCCTGGGAACTGGAGTTACAGACAGCTGTGAGCCACCATGTGGTGCTGGGAATTGAACCTAGGTCTTCTGGAAGAGCAGACAATGCTTATAACCTCTGAGCCATCTATCCAGCCCCAGAAAACATAAGAACATAAGCTTCATCTCTTTGCTACTCTTCACAGGCAGCCATTAATAAGATCACATTAAGCCAGGCAGGGGTGGCACATGCCTTTAATCCCAGTACCCAGGAGGCTGAGGCAGGAGGATTACAAGTTCCAGGCCAGCCTGGGCTTCTTAGCTAGACCTTGTCTCAAACTGAAAAAGGGGCTGGGAGATAGTTCAATGAGTTAGAGTGCTTGCTTTATAAGCTTAAGGATCTGAGTTCAAATCCTAGGACCTATATAAAATGCTGGGCATGGATGCTGGGAAGATGGTGTACCAGGGAAGAGAACTAGAGTTTGGTTCCCAGCATCCATATGGCTCACAGCTCCCTGTAACTCCAGTTCCAGGGAATCTGAGGCCCTCTTCTGACCTCCATAGGTTCCTACAACCACATAGTACACGTAAATTTATGGGAGGCAGAGGCCGGTGGATCTGTGTGAGTTCGAGGCCAGCCTGGTCTACGGAGCAAGATCCAGGAAAGGTGCAAAGCTACACAGAGAAACCCTGTCTCGAAAAACAAAAAAAAAAAAAAATTTTTATAGGCATGCACACTCACACATAAAAGATTTTTTTTAAGCCAGGTATGGCCACGTTTGTGCTGCAGCCCCAGTGTTGTGGGAGGCAGGGGCAAGAAGATCACTGAGACTTGAAGCCTAGCTCCAAGTTCAGTGAGAGATCTTGTCTCAAGGAAGAAGGTGGAGCAGTGGTTCTGAACCTTCCTAATTCTGTGACCCTTACTACAGTTCCTTCTGTAGTGGTGACCCCCAACCATAAAGTTATCTTTGTTGCTACTTCATAACTGTAATTTTAGTACTATTGTGAATCATAATATAAATATCTGCGTTTTCCAATGGTCTTAGGTGACCCCTGTGAAAGGGTCATTCAACCCCCAAAGGGGTCTCAACCCACAGGTTGAGAATCATTGAGGTAGAGTGATACAGCAGGACACCTGACATGGGCACACCAACCTACCCGCATATGTACATACACCATACACATATTATATACAGAGAAAATCCTTGTGTTAGAAATGACTTGAGGGGCAGTGGGGGCTGGGTGATGTGAGGTGATGTTCTCTATGTTGATCTTTTTTCCTTTTGTTTTTCAAGACAGGTCACTCTCTAGCCCAGGCTGTCCTCAAGCTCATGGTAATCCTTCCTCAGCCTCCCAAGTACTGAGTTATAGGCATAAGCCACAAGCTTGACTCGGTCTGTTCATTTTTTTTGTGTGTGTGTGTGTCTGTTTGAGACAGAGCATCACTGTGTTCTCTTGGCTGACCAGACCTTGCTCTGTAGACTAGGCTGTCCTTGAACTCGGAGATTCACCTGCCTCTGCCTCCTGAGTGCTGGGATGTAAGGTGTGCATCACCATGTCTGGCCTGTGTGTTTTTCTTGATGCTGTTTTCCTGAGTATATTTGAGTTATGAAAGTTCATTAAGCTACGCACTTACTTTTTTCTTACCTGTGTATATTATTTTAATTTGGAGTTACCTTCCTGGGGAGGTGGAAAAATAACTCAGTTGGTAAAGTGCTTGAAACCAAGCATTACAATCTGATTTAGTCCTGAGAACCTATATTTAAAAAAAAAAAAAAGAAAAGAAAGAAAAGCCAGGTGTGGTAGTGACTACTTGTAGTTCCAGTACTGGAGAGACAGAGACAGGCAGATTCCTGGGACTCTAGCCAGCTAGCCTGATCTACTTGGCAAGCTTCAGGCCAATGAGAGACTGTCAGGAAAAAAATGAGGTGAATGGCTCCTGAGGATGATACCTGAGGTTGTCTTTGGGTCTCTGCATGCACTTGCAGGTACATACACCTTTAGGTATGTGTGCACTCATGCACATAAACATGCACACATGTAAGTACAAAAAAATTCCCCATTACTGCTCCAAAAAAAAGTTTATTAATTAAAAAATCCTAGGGGCTGGAGAGATGACTCAGCAGTTAAGAGCACTGGCTGCTCTTCCAGAGGACCCGGGTTCAATTCCCAGCACCCACATGGCAGCTCAAAAAAGCTAACTCTAGTTCCAGGGGATCTAACACCTTCACACCAGTGCACATAAAATAAAGTTAAAAAAGTATTAAAAAATTCTCATTCCAGCACACCCACCCCCAGTTGTGATTGATTTTTTCCATCGTGTTTGCCATCTGTGAGATTTCCCGTCCCTCTTACTCTGGAGACTGGTGTCACTCTGTGGCAGTCTCAAGCTATAGGGCTGTGGGGCAAGCAGGAATAGTGAGACAGAGGCCTGGCTCACTGCTGTGGAAACAGTACTGTTCCACACACCATTAACAGCACCCCATCTGCCCATTCCAAAGTCAGTAATCTTTTTTTGTTCCATTTCTTCAGAAGACAGACCCCCTGGGCTGGGGATTCAGCTTAGTTGGTAGAACTGACGTGCATGAAACCCTGGGTTTCATCCCCAGAATTGCATAAACCAGGTGCAGTCCCAGGTTGGAGACAGGAAGACCAGAAGTTGAAGCTTGGGCTGCAGACTTCTAGTTAAGAGTGGGCTCGGCAGTTAAGAGTGCAGATCTGAATTCTGTTCCCAGCACTCACACCGGGCAGCTCACAGCTGCCTGTAACTCCAGCTCCAAAGGATATGTTACCTCTGGTCTTCACCGGCAGCTGCATTCATGTGCATATGTACCAACAGACAAGCACACAGATACACGTGCTTATAGATAATTAAAAACAAGAAATTGAAGGTCATCCTTTGCTACATAGTGAGTTTGAGGACCTGCCTAGGCCTTACATTAGACCTTATCTCAAAATAAAAATAAATAAATAAAAAAGCCTGGCACAATGGTACGTGCCTTAGTCTCCCAGTATTTGGGAGGCAGAAACAGGCAGATTTCTCTGAGTTCAGGGCTAGCCTGGTCTACATATTGAGTGAGTTCCAGGACAACCAGGGCTATATAGAGAAACCCTGTCTCAGAAAAGCAGGGATGGGGTGCTGAAGGGATGGTTCAGCAATTTAGAGCACTTCTTTTAAAGAAGACCCAAGTTCAAGTCACAGCACCCATATAGTGGCTCACAACCATTTGTAACTCATAAGTCTAGTTCCAGAGAATGTGATAACTCCTCCTGATCTCTGGGCACCAGGCACACATGTGGTACACATACATACAGGAAAACATCCATACACACACAATTTTTAAAAAATTACATAAAAAGCCAGGTGTGGCCGGGCAGCGGTGGCGCACACCTTTAATCCCAGCACTCGGGAGGCAGAGCCAGGTGGATCTCCGAGAGTTTGAGGCCAGCCTGGTCTACAGAGATCTAGGACAGCCAGGGCAATAGAGACTTTCTCAAAACCATATATATGTGTGTGTGTGTGTGTATGTGTGTATGTTTTTATGTTTGTTTCTGTGGGGGTATGTGCATATGAGAGTGCTGTTGCTGACGGAGCCCAGAGGCATGGGGTTCCCCCTGTGCTGGACTTAACAGACAGTTGAGGGCCACCTGCTGGGAATCCAGCTTAGTCTTGGCTCTTGTTGGGTATACTGTCCTTACTCCTTTTGAGGCAAAAGAGTATGCATGTCGTCTGCCTTACTTAGGTTTGCATGCCTTCTGTTAGAAACCTTCAAACTTGACTAGAAACATGGTTCAGTGGTTAGAAGCATGTATTCATCTTGCATAGGACCTGAGTTCAGTTCCAGCATCCACGTTAGGAGACACAGACTCCAGTTCCAGGCAGGTATCCTCTTCTGGCCTCCACAGGCACTGTACTCACATGCACACATCCTATCCCACACACATACATAATTTAAAATAATAATAACTCTTAAAAAGAAGCCTCCTGACTTTAATATATTAACCGTGTGTCCTGAGAGCTAAATGAATTCTTTCTTAGGTTAGTAGTTCATGTGACTGGTAAGGATATAGAACTGATCCTTTGCCTTCCCTCCTCTCCTCAGGCCTTGCTGCTGCTCCACCGACGCTTGGCAATCTGTGAGGAGCAGCACCTGGTGGAGCCCGCCGAGCTTCTGGTCCTCCTCAACCTGTCTTTTGTGTACCTGAAGCTGGACCGACCTGCCATGGCCCTGCGCTATGGGGAGCAGGCTCTGCTCATTGATCAAAGGAACGCCAAGGCCCTCTTCAGGTGTGGACAGGTGAGTTGAGGGTAAGTGCCTAAGAGAAGGAAGTGGGGAGAGGGGCTGGGGCAGTAACTCACTCAATAAAGCGCTTGCCAGGTGTGCAAGCCTGGGAGCCTGAGCTCATTGTCCAGAGTCTAGGATGCTAGATCGCTGCACTGAGGAGGCAGAGACAGGTTAGATCCCTGGAGTTTGCTGGCCAGTCAGCCTAGATGAATTGGGAGCCCTGAATCCCAGAGGAAGACCTTGTCTCGAAAATAAGGTGGACCGGGTGGCAACACTTGGGAGGCAGAGCTAGGCTTTGCTCTGTGACTTTGAGGCCAGCCTGGTCTACAGAACGAAATCCAGGACAGGCACTGAAACTACACAGAGAAACCCTGTCTTGAAACCCCTCCTCTCCCCCCCAAAATAAGGTGGGCTACTCCCTTGAGGGAAGCCAGGTTGACCTCTGGTCTCCATCCATATATGCACACCCCACAGAACAGTTGGTCTCACTTGGGCCACTACCACAACTGCTAATCTTAATCTAATGTTGTGTCCCTTCCTCACAGGCTTGCCTCCTTCTAACTGAGTATGAGCAGGCCCGGGATTTTCTAGTGCGAGCTCAGAAGGAGCAGCCCTGCAACCATGACATCAATAATGAGCTGAAGAAGCTGTCCAGGTGAGAGCTGAGGGCAGGAGTGTGACCAGAAGCACAGTGAGAGGTGGCTGCAAGAATTCCAGTCCAACCATCTAGATAGAGGACGGGCTAGGAGTGTTGCCCCAGACTGGCCCAGAGGCAGCCATCCCACCTGCATGTTCCTTCGCTCCTTGTCCTGAACTTACTGTTGTGAGTGGGGAAGCGTCACTTGTGAGCATGTCCCTCCTTCCCATTGTACCACCCTGCAGATTGGCACTCCCTGGAAAAGTGGGTCCTGTAGTGTGACTATAATTACACCAGAATCATGGCATCCAAATTGGCCTCTTCAAGAGGTAAATGTCCAGTTTCTAGAGATTGTAATCCTATCTCAGGTAAAACAAAGATCAAGATAGGGCCAGAAGGACAGAGAGGGCAAGGGCCTCCCATTCTGTAGGGAGCCCATAGGCTGAATTACTTTGTTAATGGCTCTCAGATCTGTCAGCATTCTCCAATTACCAGACTTCTTTTTAATAACAAATACAGGAGAATTTCAAGGGCTGGTAGATTCTTCCATGTGTTGAGCATTTAACTGCTCTTGAACCAGCTATTCTAAAGCTTCTCAGGGCCGTGGGTTTGTGCCCCATGTTGGGCACTAAGAGAGAGTGCTGCATACATGCATCCCAGGTATTAAGGATTCCAAGCAGCTATGCCCCAGGGGCATGTACTTCAAGGTCATATGCAGGTGTAACCATTACCTGCTGCCTCACTAGGGCTGGTGCTTCAAGGTCATAGCTGGAACATCTACCCACTATAGGGTCCAGCACTCCCTAGAGAAGTGGGTCCCTGAAACTTCTTTGTGTATATTTATGTGTGTAGGCCAGAAAACAACCTTGAGTGTGATGCTCAGGGTCCAGCAGTTAGATTGGGCTGGGGCCTAGTCCCAGAGATTGTCCTGTCTCCCACCGCCCCCCACCCAGCAGCACCCCATGCTGGAATTACAGACACACACCACTCACTGGGCCTGTTTTTTTTTTTTTGGTTTTTTTCGAGACAGGGTTTCTCTGTGTAGCTTTGCGCCTTTCCTGGAACTCGCTTTGGAAACCAGGCTGGCCTCGAACTCACAGAGATCCGCCTGGCTCTGCCTCCCGAGTGCTGGGATTAAAGGCGTGCGCCACCACCGCCCGGCTGTTTTTTTTTTTTTTTTAAACATGGTGCTGAGGATATAAACTTGGGTCCTCACTTTACCAACTGAGCTATTTCTGTAATCCCCCATGTAACCTTAAAAGGGTGTTAAAACTAGGTATGGTGGTCCACTCTAGTAGTCTTAGAACTTGGGATACTGAGGCAAGAAGATCACAAACGCAGACCTTCTAGAGTGTAAAATAAGACACTGTCTCAAAAGCCAGGGCTGGTGAGGGGGCTCAGCAGCTGAGAGTCTTTGGTATTCTGATCCCTAGGACCTACATAGTGGAAGGAAAGAGCTGGCCTGCAAGTTGTCCTCTGACCTCCATACATGGTATGCACGTCTACACACTAAATAAATGTACAAAAAGCCCATCTTCCACAATAAAGAAAGTCTTGAAATCGGCACTGAAGAAGCAAAGGCAGGTGAACCTCTGAGTTTAAGGTTACCCTGTCTACAGAGTGAGTTCCAGGACAGCCAGAGCTACACAGACCTTGCCTTGAAAAAGGAAAATTAATTTTTAAAAAGCTGTGCTTAGCACTCTACCTATTCTCAAAATCACCCGAGAGCCATTGTTCCTCATGGGTCTTTCTAGGGCCACAAATGAGCTGGTTCTATGTGACTTGTTCAAGTGAGAAGGACATTATTAACCTTTTAGAAATGTACATTTTGGGAGGTCAGCAAAATGGTTCAATGGGTAAATGTTCTTGCTGCTAAGCCTGATGACCCAACAGTTCCTTCTTAGGACCCATATGATGGACGGAGAAAACTGATTCCTGCAAGTTGTTCTCTGACCTCCACAAAGACACTTGAGCCCACTCCCAACACATACATGAATAAATGTGATTAGAAAAATGAAAAATGAAAGCTTTATTAAAAAAATGGGACTTTTTCTGATTAGAGAAGCTGCATTTGCTGTAGAGAATCTGAAAACCATCTTTCTATGAGTTCTAGGACAGCCAACATTTTGTTTTGTTTTGATTTTGGATTTTGGTTTTTCAAGACAGGGTTTATATGTGTAACCCTGGCTGTCCTGGAACTTGCTCTGTAGACCAGGCTGGCCTCGAAATCAGAGACCTACTTGCTTCTGCCTCCCATGTGCTGGGATTAAAGGCGTGCCCCACCATGCCTGGCAGACAGCCACCATTTTTAACATGTATTTTTTTGTTCTGCTTTGGTAAGGTTCTCTCCTTAACATTAAGCATTCAGTCACCATTGCTGAGGTCTCTAAGCAGTGTGCATCATTTCCATTTGGGTGCTCCTGGTCTTTCTGGGTTTCCTAGGAGCATCCTTTCTAGTATGGAAAAGGGTCCTCTCAGGTTAGATCCCGAATTTTGGAAACCATTTCCATTCCATAAGGAATCTGACCATTCCTTAGCAAGAAAACCTCAAAGTGAGTCAGAAGTCACTTAGTACAAGGAATCATTCGACAAGACTTGGCCTGAGCCCATGGGCAGTGGCTTCTGCCTTCCTAGCTGCTGTCTTTCCAAATGAGGCCTTGTGTCCAGGGCCGTCCTCAGTGGGCTTAGCCTTGCCTGTCCCTGCAACTCGACTCTGTTGTCTCCATTGGCTGCTGCCCAATGCTGACTTCTGTGTCTGTTACCAGAGAATTCCAGCCACCAGATGTCACCTCCTGCAAACCTACAAAGCTTGCCTTTCTCTCCACAGCCACTACAAGGACTACGTGGACAGAGAGAGAGAGATGTGTCACCGGATGTTTGCTCCCTGTGGGAGCGGCTCCTCAGTGGGAGGAAACTAAGGTACGGGGCTGCGCATGCGTGAGAGGATTCAGGGTTCTGTCCATTGGGGAAGATGTCCTCCTCAGCAAATCTTGGTGACCAGTGGCTATCTCCACTGAGGACAGCATAGGACAAAATACACTGTTGCAGACTTCCCACAGAGTGGGTCACTGAAGGAGGAGGACTTGGAGGTTACATTCATATTTGGGAGGTCCTGAGCTTTCCCTTTCGAAAGACTTTTTTCATGGTTTGTGAAATTAAACTCTCTTCAAAGTTCCTTAGAACTGAAGCAATGAATGAAGTCATTAGTGTGACAGTTTAGCTGGGCTTGAAAGAGAAGAACTGAGTTTCTCTTTTTGTTACTGTGTTTTGGAGATAATTTCATGTGGTCCAGGCTGGCCTGAATCTCACTGTGTAGCTGAGAATGACCTTGAATTTCTGATCCTCCTGCCCCTACTGAGTGCTAAAATTATAGGCTTATGCCACCACAGTCTGATTAGTGTAGTACTGGGGATGGAACCCTGGGCCTTATATGTGTTAGCACTCTACCAACCAAGCCACATTCCCAGCCTGTTATGGATGTGTTTATGTGTGTTTTAATTATATGTTTGTGCATGTGTATCTATTGGTGTATTCACATCAATGCAGATGCCTGTGAAAGCCAGAAGAAGATATCACATCCTCTAGAGTTGGATTTATAGGCAGTTGTGAGCCGTCTGGTATGGGGCAAGGAACTGAACTCTGGTCCTCTGCAAGAGCAATATATGTCTTACACACTGAGCCAACTGTCCAGCCCTTTGTTTTTCGAGATAGGGTTTCCTTGTGTAACTCAGGTTTGCCTGGAACTCACAATTATCCTGTCTCAGCCTCAAGAGTAGTAGGATTAAGCTGGGCAGTGGTCAACAAGGTGTGGCGGCATACATCTTTAGTCTCAGCACTTGGGAGGCAGAAGCAGGCTGATTTCTGTGAGTTCCAGGCCAGCCTGGTCTAGAGTGAGTTCCAGGACAGCCAGAGTCATATAGTGAAACCCTGTCTTGAAAAACAAAAGCAAAAAAACAAACCAAAGAAAAGGAGGAGGAGTATTACAGGGCTACACTATTATGCCTGGCTGCAGGCTGTGTGTGCTTGGTGCTGGGAGGGTTGAACTCATGGCCTCACATATGCTAGGCAAGTGTAGGTAGGCAAGGTGCTCTATCCTTGAAAAGCTCAGGCTTTTCTTCATCTGGATTTTCCAAGAACTTGAAAGCCTCTGACCTCAGTTTACCTCTAACACAGTACTACAAAAGACAAAAATCCCAATGTTGAGGAATCGGGCTGCGCTGTGCATTTTCAGTTCTGCTAACTACCAGAATTGAAGATGCCAAGACCTGAAAAAGCAGACCATGGCATTGCTGTCAGTCAATGGCAGCTTGTGATTGCGCAGGCTCAGGCAGAGTATCCCCACAAGTACACAAGATAGCCTTCCAGTCTGCTCTGCTGTTACTTAAGACAATTAATGGGAACAGAATTGCCTGCCTTAAACACCTGTTCAGCCAGGTCCAGATCCCACTCTCCTGAGAGAAGTTAAACAAGGAAGAAGGAGGAAGCAGCTGCTGAACGGGCTCCTGCGGGAAAGCTTGCCTTTGTTGCCCCTTCTGTCTACAAAAGCGGCTTGACAGGAGGGGCCATGAAAGGCCCATTCATCCGTGTGCTCATGCAGTCTCTAGCACTGCTGTCTGCTTGGCAGATGCCACCAGTCAGTTCCTTTGCATGCATGACTCTTTGACCCCATCCTCTAGGTCTTCGGGGGACTTCTGAACCACACTGAGACCAGGGACCTCTCCTCTTTGTCTCTCTTCTATGTCTCACATTCAGTAGAGACATAAGACATCTGTTTTCCAGACCTGTGGGTGTATGGATCTGTGTGGCTGCATGTGTCTGTACAGCTACTCGCTCTCTCCCCTCTCTCTGTCCATCTGTCTGTCTGTGTCTTTTGCATGCACATCCCCATGACAGTCAAAGGACAGCCTTAGACACCTACCATTTGAAATAATCTTTTTATTGGCCTGAAGCTTTGTCAAATAGGAGAGGCTAGCATGCCAGCAAGCTTCTAGAGGTCTGCTTGTCTCCTCCACTCACCTTGCCACCACTGGATTGTAGTATGCACACCATGCCTGGATTCTTACGTGGGTTCTGGGCATTAAACTCCGGTCTTACATGGCACTTACTTCCTGGACTGTTTCCCTGCTGCTTCCCTAGACTCTGTAGGACTTTGATCTGACATGCTCTGCAGACTGAGGAGCCAGTCCTTCCAGGGCACAGCTGGGAACCAGGTCTTGGGAATCCCAGCTAAGCCGCAGGATATCCTTCCGTTTTCTGTGGCTGCTTTGTTCCCTGCATAGCTCCAGCTCTTGGATGTTCATCCTTTAGCCATTAGTGATGGTGTTTGAGTCTCAAACAACAGTTGGTGTATTCCCATTCCTGTTAGCATTGCAGCGTACTTAGTTCTTGTCATCTTCCTCTGGTCCTGTTCTTCCATATGTGTGGCCCGGCCAGTCATTCATTTATTACTTTTCACGTGTGAGAAAGTGCAGGGTCATGTGTAGAGATCAGAGGACAACTTGTGGGGCTTGGAACTCTCCTTCCATCATGGGTTCTGGAGATTGAACTCAGGTCATCAGGCTTTCACTGAAGGGGCTTTTCAGTGAACTGTAGTGTCTGCCCACTGGCCAATAATTTTGCTTGGTTTTGTTTTAGTTTCTTTCGTATTGACAGCATGACCAAAGCAACTTACAGAAGAGTTTATCTCCAGGGCTTCTAGTTGCAGAGGGTTAGAGTTCAAAACCATCATGTTGGGGAGCCTGGCAGCAGGAAGGCAGATATGGTGCTGCAGTAACTGAGAACTCACATCTTTTCTTGTTTTTTTTCTTTTTTTGAAACAGGGTTTCTCTGTAGTCCTGGCTGTCCTAAACTCATTCTGTAGCCCAGGCTGGCCTCAGACTCACAGAGATCCTCCTGCCTCTGCCTTCTGAGTGCTGGGATTAAAGGTGTGCACTACCACCACCCAGCTTTAGAGCTCACATCTTAATCCACAAACAGGAGGCACAGAAAGACAGACAGACAGAGACAGACAGACAGAGAATGGTGAGGACCTGTTGAAACCTTAAAGCCCACCCCCAGGGAGACACTTGTTCCAACAAGGCAACATCTCCTAATCCTTCCCAAACAGTTCCACCAATTAGGGACCAAGCATTCAAATATATGAGCCTTTTGGGGGGGCCATTCTCATGCTAACCACTACACTTTTGTTTCTTGAGATAAGGCCTCCCTGGCAGACCTAGAACTCACTATGTAGACCAAGTTGGCCTCAAACTTGCAAAGATCTACCTGGCTCTGCCTCCAAAGTGCTGGTTAGGTTGTCAGCTTGATGTGCTTGTTTTGATGAGGGCTGTTCTCTCTCTTAACGGTTGATTTATTTCCTTGTGTATCCATGTGCTCTGGGTGGGAAGGGTGTGCGAGCACATTGCATAGACAAGGCCAGAAAGTAACACTGGCTGCCTGTCTAAGTTAGGGTTTCTATTGCTGTGAAGAGACACCATGACCACAGCAACTCTTATAAGGAAAACATTTCAGTGAGGTTCAGGCCATCATGATCATGAAGGGGAGCATGGCAGCGTGTGGTTAGACATGGTGCTGGAGGAGAGTGCTACATCTTGGGGGCAACAGGAAGTCGACTGACTCACCGGTCAGTATCCTGAACATAAGAAACCTCAAGGCCTGCCCCCACAGTGACACACTTCCTCTAACAAGGCCATACTCACTCCAACAAAGCCACACTTCTAATAGAGCCACTCCCTATGAGATGATGGGGGCCAAATGCATTCAAACTACCACAGTGCCCTATTACTCTCCACTTAATCCTTTGAGACAGGGCCTCTCCTTAGCCTCCCCTTGAACCTGGCACTCTTCTTTTCTTGGCTAGGTAGAAGCCAGTCAATCCCTGTGATTGTCTTGTCTCTGCCCTGCTTGGGGCTGGGTTACAGGCATGCTTGGGATACTTGGCTTCTTGTTTGAGTGCTGGAGTCCAAACTTGGGTCCTTGTGATTGTGGGACATGTGCTCTTAACTGTGGAGCCATCGCTAGCCTAGGAGCCCAAGCCTTCCACTGTAGAAGACATGATCACTTTAAGACTGGAGACCAGTCTTTTCTCATTTGTGCATTTCCTAACCCTGGTGATGATTGAAGGTACAGCATCCACCTACTTTGAAACACTATAGTTCCTGCATTAGCTGGCAGGACTCTGATTACCAGTGACACAAAGCAATGGAGGACCCAGCTGTTACAGTGATCTAGCTCCTGGGATGGGATGAACTTGACAGGAACAGACACTTTGATAGCCCTGACATATCCTCTTTTTCTGAGGACCTCCGCAGCATCTGTCAGGAACATGTCCCTCTGAACAGAACCATACTTCGGGATAATCTCAGCCTGGCTATAGCCCTACTAAGCTGAAATCAGCAACTAGTACTGCCCATGAGAGGAAACCAGCTTTAACCCTGAATACTCCCTTCTGGGTATTTACCCACATAGGTAAATATTATGTTCACACACATACTTCTCTCGTGATGTGTGTGTGATGTGGGCAGGTCATAACTCAGAATGGCAGTTCTCATCTTCATCTTGAGACAGGTTGTCTTGTATTGATTAGGTGTACACCAGGATAGTAGGCTTCCAGCTTCTTGAGATTGACCTGTCTCCTCCTTGTAGGAGCACTGAGCACTGGGACTGCAGGTGCTTATGCTGTTTGTCTGGCTTTTATGTAGACTATGGAATTGATACTCATACATGCACAGTGAGTTCTGTTTACTACTAAGCCATGTCCCTCGCCCTCTATTGCCAATTTTTAGTTTATCAGTTTGGGACTGTGGCTTTCTTGCCACATCATAAGCTTTGGTACTATGTCTTTCTCCCTTACCAACTGCATACCCTCTGTCAGACTGTCTTCTGGCATGCTGATCACCCAGAAAGACTGTGTCCTGTGC